TTCCAAGGGGCCAAGGCACTCTAGAAGACTCTTAATTGGCCACCTTGGATAAAAAAAAAATAGTAACTTTTTTTTAAAAACTCAGTATCCATTTAGAATTATGACCATCTTGTGAAAAATGAAGTTTGAGACTACTTTGATATGAAATGTAGTGCTATTCTCATCATCTTTAATTGTATTTTCTTTTACAAATGACTAATACTAGAGGATGTGTTTAAGTTCAAAAACCTTCTGATAAGGGTTAATATTTGGGGCTTTGAGCATCGTATTGACTTCCATCGCTAGTTTCACTATATTAAATTTGAGTTATGCTAATAATAAGTTTATTTTTCTGTTTTTCATTCATTTTTATGAATTAAGGGCCAAAATGCCACAAAATTTTCAAATAAGCAAATATTACTGTGCAATTTCAGCAAAGATGCTGAAATACAACTGTTGGCTGGCAGGTCATGTTGCCAGCAATAGCATGAAGTATTTTGTTCATTAGTTTAAGAAGGTATGAAGAAAGCACTGCAAACGTGTTATGAGATGATGAAAAATACAGAAAACCTAAATATATAAAAATCAAAGTATTGTTTTACAACGTTTGATTGTCTTGCCTTCTCAGCAAAATCACTAAGTTGTTAAAAGCAAGATTTTCACATCACTTTCAAACATTATCATGGGCCAGAAAATGCTATGGAGTATCTTAATTTCTTATACTTCACTATCGCTTCTATGGCTGTTTTTACCATCTCTCAAACAATCTCTAGATCCATCCAGTAATATGACAAGTTGGTACCAGGCTTCATTCATGTTTCATCTAGATCTACACATATATAAATTCAAGGGTAATCAGGATTCGTATTGCACAATGTTCTTCAGCCACCGTGTGTAGCTCTTGCAAATACCATTCCCATATACAAATGCCTGTGAATTACAAATTAAGGCATTAAAAGAAGCAAAAAACAGATGCTCAGCACCACTGGGAAACGTATTTCATTATGCACGAATCTTGCATTCATGCTGAGAGGTTTTGACAAGTCACCTTTCCTCCTACCTTACTGCTGCTGCCCCAGTCCTTCCTGCACTCCAAGCCAGTGTCTGTGTCTGGTCTTAGCAGCAGCATGACCCACAAACCTTTCTAGCATTTGCGCACAATCATCTTTTGTTTGGAAGGCAAAGGGTAGAAGATGTGGTGAACCATTCCCACCTGAGACCTGAATGTGGTTCATGATGAGATCGAATCTTTAGGGCTATGGTTCCTGCTGCTCCAGAGCTGAGCTACAGATCAAGAGCCCATGTGGGTTTTGTTTTGTTTTGTTTTTTTCTTTTTTGAGATGGAGTCTCACTCTGTCATCCAGGCTTGAGTGTAGTGGCACTATCTCAGCTCACTGCAACCTCCACCTCCTGGTTCAAGCAATTCTCCCACCTCAGCCTCCTGAGTAGGTGGGACTACAGGCACATGCCACCATACCTGGCTAATTTTTGTATTTTAGTAGGGACAGGGTTTCACCATGTTGGCCAGGCTGTTCTCAAACTCCTAACCTCAGGTGATCCACCCACCTTGGCCTCCAAAAGTACTAGGATTACAGACGTGAGCCACTGCGCCTGGCCCCAGCTCACATCTTCTTGAATGTAGGTTTCTGTATGTGTCTGTCCTTTGCAGAGCACTCTAAAGCCCAGGGCTCAGAACAGTGGCCCCTCTTTCTAGGTGCGAGGGTAGTTCTGCAGGCTTTCACAGGATTCCTGTGGCTCCCTGTTTGGGGCTATTAAGGGTGATCCATGGGAGTTAGTGTAGCACCATCCTAAAGTCAGTAGTTCAAAGACAAGCAAGGATCAAAGAGAGATGAGAAGTGAGCAAGTTGGAGATAATTAAAATCTCTGTAAAAGAACACTCTTTTCCACACTGGGAGTATTCTCATAGTGCCACAAATAGCACTTCCCAGATGGAAAGCCTCCAAATGCTCCCAGCTGACCATATTTGCCACCTCACGAACACTGCAACATCACACACAAGATGATGTCCATTTCCCCAAGCCCTGTGCAGACCAATTTTGATAATATAATTGTCCTAATTAAGTTACAGTTTCTCTCTTTCATTTATTCAATTTATGCTTTGTTTTGCTATTGGTATTCTCGCCTCCTCCATCTCTGTTCCAAATAGTAAGACACTTTGCTTTAGGGGAAGATACTGAGAATGCCATCACTTCTCCAATTTCATCAAAGGGAAGAGCACTTAACACTTAATCCCTAAACGCCTTCATTTCCTTCTCTGCTGTTTCAGACCTGGCAAAGCTTTGCTCGCATCCAAAAAGATGAAACGGGAGCAGAGAGACCCAAAGTAGTAGTAATTAGTGATGAGCCTTGGCCAAGTCAAGTGGCTGGGGTTTTCCTTCAGCACCTGCTTCTTTTGTATCTGTTTTTAGCCACGCTTCGCTGAATACCCAAATCCTGCTGCTTTTTTTTAATCATAAGACAATATTTAAATATAAAATTTTACACTATAAACACACTCAAAGTAAATATTCAACATCTAGATGGTGACAGATTGTCTAGATGACTAATAGAGTCTATCAATTGTTCTCTGTAATTTCTTTCCCTCCTTTTAATCTTTGAAAGTCCATCTTCATCCAGCCTGTTCATGGTGCTTGGAGTTGAGGCAGCCGTAGTGCAACCAAGAGGCTTCCCTCCATCAACACACTGAGGTTGGCATAACAGAGAGATGGAAAGAGCCCAGTTCTCCAAGGACACTGCTGAATCTTTGCACCAATTCTGATAGCACTACCTCCAGACTCTGTATTTCATGAGGTTAGTAAACCTGTTTGATGTAAGCCACTTGCAGTCAAGTAACAGGTCCATGCATTTAAACTACACATGGCCCATGCTTTGAGAAACATTGTCATAAATAGTGGTGTCCTCGGAGCTCTGTTCTAGACAGTCTTCTCTCCTTACCCAATACTGTCTCTCTAAGTGATCTCACTCACGATCTCACTCACTCCCTTGGCCTGAAACATCATCCACTCTGAAGACTTCTAAACCTGCTTCTAGGCCAGAGTCGTCTTTTGAACTTCTAAAATCTGTAAGAAACGCTAATAGATGTCACCACGTGTCTATTAGTCTCCCTGCATCTCAACATATCCAAAACTGAACTCATAATCCGCTCCCTGGAACCTGTTTATCCCCCACACTTTCCTGTCTCAATAAATGGCACCATGGTCAACTCTCAAGCTAGACAGCCAGGAATCATTACCGTCTCCTTTTCCCTCACCCAGCATCCAGTCAGTCACCAAGTCCCATCATGTCTCCTCTCCATCGTCACTAGTGCTCCTCAGTCAGGGCTGTTGTTAGGTCCCATGGGGACCACTACCACAGACTTCTACCTGGTTTCCCTGGCCCTTCCAATTGCTTCTCTATATTGCAGTCAGAATAATCTTTCTAATATGTAGACCTAGTCAGATCTCTTCTCTGTTTAAAACTGCTACCTGACTCACTGGACCTGAAGAATAACTCTTGCTATGAACTCCCACTGCTTCTGGAGAGTCTCTTAACATGAGTCATTGTGGCTGCATGGTGGCTCACACCTGTAATCTTGACACTTTAAGGGGGCTGAAGGAGGAGGATTGCTTGAACTCAGGAGTGCAAGACCAGCCTGGGCAACATAGCAAGACCTCTTGTATACTAAAAGTCAGAAAAATTAGCTGGGCATGGTGCTGCATACCTGTAGTCCCATCTACTCAGGAGTCTGAGGCAAAAAGATTGCCAGAGCCCCGGAGATTGAGGCTGCAGTGAGCTATGATCATGCCGCTGCACTCCAGCCTGGATGACAGAGTGAGACATTGTCTCCAAAGAAAAAAGAATTCATTTTGCTTTTATCGAGCTTATTTACTGTCTGTTTTTTCATTGGTCTCTAAGTTGTATTGACTATAGGAACTGAGGTATATCCCCACACCTAGCAACTGTGCCTGGCACACAGGTGACAACAAATGTGAAGTTGAGTGAATAGATGAATTTATAACAACATTTTGTAAGCTAGGGGTTGTGACCCACCAGTGGATCATGAAATCAACCTAGTGGATTACAATCAGTTTTAATTTAAATGAGAAAAGGAAATAGAAGAGTATCGTAAATAATAAGAGTATTATTTCCTGAAAATTTTTATTATAAAATTTGTAAAATATATTCCTTATAAGTAGCAGTAAAACTAAAATGAAAGCCACTAGGTTGTAATAAGCAAGTACTTTTTTCTATAGTAAGAAAAAGCAGCTTTATTTAGAGAAAAAAAAAAATCTAGCTGGGTGTGGTGGCTCACATCTGTAATCCCAGAACTTTGGGAGGTCAACGCAGGTGGATCACAAGGTCAGGAGTTCGAGACTAGCCTGACCAACATGGTGAAATCCCGTCTCTAGTAAAAATACAAAAATGGGCTGGGCATGGTGGTGGGCACCTGTAATCCCAGCTACTCAGGAGGCTGAGGCAGGAGAATCACTTGGACCCAGGAGGCAGAGATTGCAGTGAGCTGAAATCACACCACTACCACTGCACTCCAGCCTGGGTGACGGAGCATGACTCCATCTCAGAAAAAGGAAAAAGAAAAATCTGGAAACCTGGTGACTGAAAAAGATTTCTGCCTTAGGGGATTTTTACTTTCACAGATTTCAAAGCCTTAAACTCAAGGAAAAAAGCATATAGAGTTTTAGGTTTCTATGAATAGATAACAGAGGAATTAAAAATCCATCACAGATCTTGCCTGGTAACTATTGCCATAGGCCAATGAAGCCTAGACTTGCTGTTGAATTCTATTTCCTCTGAAGGTATAGCTTAAGTCTTTCTGTCCCATGGCTCATAACGAAAGTGGAAATCCAGTGTTGGAAGAATGAGTTATTTGCTGTTGAGGGTGGTCACTGATTTGGATCTTGGAGAACTTAATTGGCTGTTTCTCCCAACCTTCTCTCTTTAAGAACAAACCCTGAGCCAATAAAGTGCTACTGTTCTGTGTCCATAGCAACAAAACAAACTTTGGGCAAACCTCACAACTCAGGCCCAAGTCATGGGAATCTGAATGGAGGGGTGACCTTCTCCTCTACTTTAATTTTATTGAAATACTGAGAAACTTGAACTGTTTTGTCTTTAGAAGGGAAATTCATGTTTGTGCCAGGCCAGCCTTTGTAAAAGCCTTCAGATGGATTCACTAGAAGTCTGTGTTCCCGCACTACAGAAACTGAATTTTCTGCTTTGGCATTTCCATCACTTGGAATGACCACTAAAGTGTTGAGTTTTGGAACCTCTGGATTTGATCTAAAGTAAACTCTGATTCTGTGTTGATAGGGAACCATTTCTCTCTAACATTGTGGTTCCTTTAAGGCGCTTGACTTTGGCCACATGAGAATAACGCATCTCTGGGCAGTCCAAGGTAAGTGCTTTGGAAAAGATGTTTTATACAATTTTCTCTACAGATTATTAATACTAACCAGTGATTTCTCTGAAGGCTCTGCCAGCTGACTGGTGACTATCATTAGGGTGAGCCTCAGGTAAGTAATCAGGGGAAGGTTCAGTAAAGGAAAAAAAGAGGGAGAAAGAATTTTTGCACACACTCACACACCCCTCTATTCTCAGAGCTATACAGTGTCAAGCCATTGTAAATGCAGATCTGTCTGTGATGACATGGAAATACCTACTAGATATCCTGTTACATAAAAAGAACAAGATGCAACAGAGTGTGTGAAGTGTGCTCTCATGTATGTAAAGCATTTTTAAACTTTATTATGCTTCTCTTTAGGTTAAGTTCTATATGCAAAACATTTAAGGTTATATACACTCACAACATTTTTGGAAAGATACCCCAAAAATCTGTTAGCAGTGGTTCCCACTTAGGAAGCTATGAGAAGTCAAGGGCTGATACTTAGCTACTGAAATATTAAAATATTGCCATATAGGCCAGGCACGGTGGCTCACACCTGTAATCCCAGCACTTTGGGAGGCTGAGACAGGCGGATCACCAGAAGTCAAGAGTTCAAGACCAGTCTAGCCATGATGGTGAAACCCCATTTCTACAAAAAATACAAAAATTAGCCAGGGTGGAGGTGGGTGCCTATAATATCCAGCTACTTGGGAGGCTGAGGCAGGAGAATCGCTTGAACCTTGGAGGCGGAGGTTGCAATAAGCTGAGACCATGCCATTGCACTCCAGCCTGGGCAACAAGAGCAAAACTCCATCTCAATATAATAATAATAAATAATAAAACACTGCCATATTGATTAGATAACCATTGCCCAAGCCCCTTGTGTGTCCTTGCCACCTTGGTTGTCTGAACTCCTTTCCTGGCACCCTCAGACCTCCTCATGATTCAGCAACTAAGGGGTTAATGCCTGGCATGGGGGTGGGAGTGAGATTCCCCCGGGACCCTGTTCTAACACTGGTTGATTATTCAATAGTTCTGTCCTACTATTTGTTAAATATTTTGAGTATCCCTACCATGGGTGCTCAAAAAGAAATGCTTTTATTGTGATTTTATTATTTTCTTTTTAGAGACAGGATCCTGCTCTGTCACCCAGGCTGAAATGCCATGGTGTGATCATAGCTCACTGTAGGCTCAAACTCATGGCCTCAAGTGATCCTACCACCCTGCCTGCCAAGCAGCTGGGACTACAGGCATACTCCACCATACTAGACTGTTTTTAAATTTTTTTGTAGATACAGAGTCTCAATATGTTGCCCAGGCTGGTCTCAAACTCCTAGGCTCAAGCAACTCTCCCATCTCAGCCTCCCAAAGTGTTGGGATTGCAGTCATGTGCCACCACACCTAGGAGACCTTTTTTTTTTTTTTTTTCCTTAAAAGCAAAAGAATATACACCAAGACATTGTTTATCATGTGGAAGAAGAAAAGGAAACAATCACACATTTCTCAAAGACCATTTAAAATCTATAGTGATTGTATCACCCATATAATTTACCTCTGCATTCTGGTTTTTGAGTGCTAATGTCTAATATTATCTATAACATGGTAATGATGATTACAACAGTTTGGCAGTTTCATCTGTGGATCTCTTTTCTCTTTGTTTTTGTTATTTTTGTTTTATTAATTAATTTATTTATTTATTGAGACAGAGTCTTGCTCTATCACCAAGGCTGGAGTGCAATGGTGTGATCTCGGCTGACTGCAACCTCTACCTCCTGGGTTCAAATGATTCTCCTGCCTCAGCTTCCTGAGTATCTGGAATTATAGGCATGTGCCACCACACCTGGCTAATTTTTGTGTTTTTAGTAGAGGTAGCTTCACCATGTTGGCCAGGCTGGTCTTGAACTCCTGGCCTCAAGTGCTCCACTCGCCTCGGCCTCCCAAAGTGCTGGGATTACAGGCGTGAGCCACCACACCATCTCTTTTCTCTTTGTTGAGCTGGCCCCAACCACCATGATGAGCTGATTACAACCACCAAGTTTACTAGTCACGTAACAAATATTCATCAAGTGAGTATTTGCACAAGCCACTTTGCAAGGCTTACTGGAGGTGCTGGGGGCCAGAGAGAACTCCGTAGTGGAGTCCTGGCCTTCAAGAAGAGAGAAGGCAGTTGCTAGAAGTGGGCCTCCCTTAGCCTCTTACTTCCTGCCCCAGGGACTCCTGCTGAATCTCCCAAGTTCAAGGTTGGCCCCTTTCCTACAGCAAGCAGATAGGAAGTCCTAAGCGAAGCAGAGCTTCTTGTTTGCTACTGTTGCAGCCTCCTTTCAGACTCTCACCTGAATTCTTGCCCCCTGTAGCATCGTCTTCCCTCCTGGGCACTCAATCCCATCTGCTTCTCTGACCTCATTTCCTTGACTTGGTCCTGACAGGCCCCCAAACACAGTGGAGTATGGACAGTTATAAATGGCAGCCCTGTCACCTGCTCTTCAGGCCTTTGCTGTTTAGCCGGTCTCCTGGCCTTCTTTCTAGCCCTGACCTCTATTGCAGAAGACCCTCTAGATCCAGGCCTCTGGCCCAGCCAACCCCTGCACACTCTGCCTTTCTTCCAAGACCAGGTCTCTTGCCTTTGCTCTGCTGCTCCCTTAGCTCTCTTTCTGCTGACCCCTCTACAGACTGCAAGCTCCCTGATGGCAAGGTCCAGCCAGCATCTAGCACAGCACTCATAGTGTGAGCCTCTAAGGATTTGTGCTGATAAAGCAGCAGTTACGAGTCAGTGAGTAGTCACTTCACTTCTTTGAGTTTTAGTATCCTCATATGTAGATTCAACCTTAAGGTCCTCTCTCACTCTGAAGGTCATTAGGAAAATGAGTGGGTTTCTCAAGCATCAGTTATGTTGAAGAAAAAGGTTGATTTCATTTTTTTCAGCTGGTTCTTAAGTAAATTTATTCCAGTGTAATATTGAAAACTAATCATAGACTTAGAAATTTGAGTTAAATCTGTTATCATTTTAATGCTTCTGTTGAGCTATTGATTCTTATAACATTTTTGGCATTTGTTTTTATTATTAATGAAATATCTACTGACATGGCCAGGTACAGTGGCTCATGCCTGTAATCCCAGCACTTTGGGAGGCCAAGGCAGGTGGATCACTGAAGCCAGGAGTTTTAGAATAGCCTGGCCAACATGGCGAAACTCAGTCTCTACTAAAAATACAAAAATTAGCCAGATGTAGTGGTGGGCACCTGTACAGCTAGTGCTCGACTTACTACCATGATTGGTTCCGACAGACCGGTTGTAACACGATTTGGTCGTAAGTTGAGTAGGCTATATGTACAGTACTGTGAAATGATGTTATAAAAATCTTTAAGTCATATTTTATCTAATTTTCTTTCATTATTATATATCATAATTTCCTTTGTTCATTTTATGCCATTTGTATTGCCTCTACACCATTTTGTTTCTTACTGTATTTTTACATTCATCAGGTTTAAGTAAAACACTGCATTACCAGTACAACTGGTTTAATATTTGCAAAACATACAAAATTACAAAATACAGGTGCATACAAGAATACAAAATACAGGTGTAAAAATACCATAGGAAACATTTTCCCAATTGCAAAACATATCAAAATATATAAACATGTACGAAACATTTTATTGGCCGCAGGTGCTTGGCTGCGGATCGTTGATGTCATCATCTGAGGCAGCAGTTGGGGTTACCGGAGTTGGTTTTTTCATAACATGGTGAGCTTTGTCTGAATTGTATGTTTCTTTTTTTCTTCATAAATTTCATGATACTGACGAAACACATCGTGCACCATCCATTCAATCCTTGCAAATCGTTCAATGTTTGGGTCCATTGCTTCAAAATGTATAGGAAGTTTATTCAGTAAAGATAAACCGTCTGATAATCCCTTAGTGGTGAACTTTCTTTCTGGCTCCTCCTCTTCTTTCTCTGCTTCTCTTCTTTCTTATTCCGCCACTCTTTCTTCTTCCAGTTCGATTAGCTCTTCATTTGTAAGTTCATCAACATTGAAAATCTGTTCTGCTAGATATCCCTCATCTGTAATTAATTCATCCAGACTATCAACAAACTTACTTGCTCCTTCCTCATCCGCACTCGCTGCTTCTCCAGTCACTCGAACACTATGCATTTGGAATCTTTTCTTGAATTCCAGGAACCAGCCAGTGCTTGCTACAAATTCTTGACTGTAATCTTCTCCAGCACGCTCCTTCAGAGTCTGAAATAGACTTCTTGCCTTCATCTGCACAGTAAAAAGACTTAATGGTGTCTGTTTTTGAATTTGATCTTCCATCCAAATAAATAGCAATTTCTCCATTTCGTGGATGGGCCCGCTTCGTTACTTTGTTATAACTGTTGATTGCATAGGTGCAGAACCTTTCACAGCTTCACGAATTCTTTCTTTATCTTTCAAAATCGTCGACACAGTCGAGTGTGATAACTTCGTATCATGTGCGATCACATTCACTTTCTTTCCTCCTTCATACTGCTTAATTACCTTCATTTTCATGTCGAGATCGATGGCCTTTCTTTCTTTCTTGGCAGGCTGAGGCGTAGACAAAGACAATTTCCTCTTGGTAGACATCTTGGGAGGGGTTTGATGAAAAATATCCAAGACACAAAGCACAAATTGCTGTACCGAGTCTGGGATAACAGTTGAAATGGTACACGCAGAGATGGTAGTGCTGCCGGAAGCTGGTCCGCACTGTCGTACGCCCAGCTGGGCAACGTTTGTGCTGCCAGACGCGGAGCAGTCGTGGCTAGCGATTGTGGTCGTAAAGTCGAATGGTCGTAAGTTGCATAGGTCGTAAGTCGATCAATACCTGTAGTCCCCGCTATTCAAGGGGCTGAGGCACCAGAATCACTTGAACCCAGAAGGCAGAGGTTGTAGTGAACCGAGATTGCACCACTGCACTCCAGCCTGGACAACAGAGTCAGACTCTGTCTCAAAAAAAAGAAAGACACTAAAGGAAAAGAAAAAGAAATAGCCACTGACATCATTTAAAAATCAAATAATGTTAAAAATTCATTAAGGAAAAGTCAGTATTCTTCCCCACCCCTAACCTGTCAGTTCTACTTCTCAATGTGCTCCCTAGAGGCAATCATTTTCAACTCTGTTCGCTATTTCTTTGGAATTTTACCTCATTCCAAATAATTTGTCCATGCTCCATATGTTAATTTTTCTTTTTGGTACTACAGATGAGGCTTTGGCTCTTATACATCCCCATTCCGCTCATTCTTCCCATGTAGTCACAGTTCACTTTTTGGCTAAATCAATATTAAGTATTTGCATTAGATACATACGAGTGTGTACCATACTAGGATTATGTTTACTTTTTCATTCAATGTTTTTTAACCTGGAGTAATTGGTTTCTATGTTTCTATTGGCAGTCCCCCACTCCCACTCCCAAATGCTCTGGTTTTTATTGCTCTGTAACAAGTTACCACAAATTTAGTGGCTTCAAACAACACCAATTTATTATCTTGCAATTCTGAAAGTGAAAGTCCAAAATGAGTTTCACTGAGCTAAAATCAAGCTGTCGACAGAGCTGTGTTCCTTCCGAAGGTTCCGGGAGAGAATTCGTTTCCTTGTCTTTTTCAGCTTCTAGAGGCTGCCTGAATTCCTTGGCTCCTGGCCCTTTTCCTCAGTCACTCCTACCTCTTCCTCCATCATCACACCTTCCCTGACTGATAATTCAGGTTAATCTCTCCATCATAAAATCTTTCATTTCATCACAGCTGCTCTTGCCATGTAAGGTAGCATACTCACAGTTTCCAGGGATTAGGACAAGTGGGTAGGGAAAGGGACAGTATTCATCCTGGCATGTGCTCCTGTGGACCTGCAGATCTGCCTGTCAATATCATCAGTTAATCTAACAGTTCTGAGTTGTGCATCCTCTGGGAACTTGATGTGTGAACTGGCTCCATCTTGTTCGTATTCTGTCTTCGCAGGTACATAGGCCACAGCGCTACGGTGAGAGCCCTGGTTATGATGCCATCGTGTACGGACATCCCTTGTGCATTTCTGTCTCCTCTCCCATTTTCTTGCTCTTCTGAGATTAAATCTCTTTTAATGCTATACTTTAGTTTTAGTCTGGAAAAAAAAAGAAGATAAATAAATGTGGTCAGGCCACCATGTAGATCTGATAGTTGTCTTTCATCAAGATTCTCATAATGGGGGTTTTGTTTTTATGGAGCCAGGGAAGAAGAGTTACCACTCTGTAATTCAAGGAGGTAATCAGGAGGAGATTCACTTGCACTGTAGTTCAAGCAACAGAACTAATTTTCATTTCTTTTTTTTTTTTTTCTTTTTGAGACAGAGTCTCACTCTGTCACCCGGGCTGGAGTGCGGTGGGGCGATCTCAGCCCACTGCAACCTCTGCCTCCTGGGTTCAGGTGATTCTCCAGCCTCCCCAGCTAATTTCTGTATTTTTAGTAGAGACAGTGTTTCACCCTGTTGGCCAGGCTGGTCTCGAACTCCTGACCTCGTGATCCACCCGCCTCGGCCTCCCAAAGTGCTGGGATTATATGGGATTATAGGCATGAGCCACTGTGCCCAGCCCAGAACTAATTTTCCAGGAAGTTCTGTGCAGAATTTGCTATAGAAATTTCTCTTCCCTTCAGTGAGGACTGGTGTGGCCTGCTGGAAAGGAAGAAACTTGGGAGTCAAGATGATTTGTGTTTGTTTCCAGCTCTGCAACTTGCTGCTTCTGTGACTTCTCTGAGTCTCAGTAGCCCTATCTATGGTATCAGCATAACAATAATTGAGTACTTTTACCTGGCTCACAGCAAGGACCCAGTTACGGCAATTTTTATTTTATTTTATTATTTTATTTTTTTAGAGGAAATGTCACTCTCCACCCAGGCTCCAGTGCAACGGCAAAATCTCGGCTCACTGCAACCTCCACCTCCTACATTCAAGCAATCCTCCCACTTCAGCCTCCTGAATAGCTGGGAAAACCGGTGTGTGTCACCACACTCAGCTAATTTTTGTATTTTTAGTAGAGACCAGAGTTTCACCATGTTGGCCAGGCTGATTTCAAACTCCTAACCTCAAGTGATCCACCCGCTCTCAGCCTCCCAAAGTGCTAGGATTATAGGCACGAGCCACAGCGCTCACCCAGTTATGGAAAATTTTAAATTGCTTTCAAGTTAAGTATACTGAGTAGAAAGGAATGAGCTGTTAACCTATTGTCAAGACCCTGCACCAGATCAACAGCTTCTGGAATCTACCATTGTTCTTTGGGTCTTCCCTGGGTTCTTCCCAATTCTTCTGTATTTTTGCTTCAATTCTAAGTGCTTAACCTTCTGCTGCTGTTTTTCCATTTCAGAAAGAGCCTCCTGATCTAGTCGCCAAGACTGCCCATGACCTTCAGCTATGTACCCCAACCCTCTCATTTATTGCACCTGCTGGGACCCCTGGAATGTGGGACCACGGAAGCTAATCAAGACCACTCAGCTACCACGAAAGAACCCCACAGGGAGATCTAAGTAAGAATTATCTGCGGTGTGGTAGGCACAGATATCTTGGGATCCATTTGTAGCCTCCTTTCTTTCACAAGATTTCTAAAACAGCAAGGGTGGCAGCAGAATCCCAGGTGGGGCAGAAAACCTCGCTTTCCCCAGCTTCCCTGCCAGCTGGTTGCCTGCACTCTCATCTTGCCAGCCCTGCCTGGGGTTTGTGCCATTTCAAATGAGGAAGCCTCAGCATCGGTGCAGTGGCAAAGTACAGCTTCCAACCAAAGGGCCTTGATGGCGACTGCCCTCTCCATGTGGGATAAAGAGCGTTGGCAACTGGGGGACAAGCTCTTCCTGGGACAGTGAACATGTGCCAGGGCCTTAGGCCTGAGTTTTAAAGGCTCAGATTTTAAAAATTCCAGCTGCCAGATCATATATTCCAATTTTGGGTCACGATAGGGATGTACTTAATCTGGGAGCGTTAAAAAGCATTTCCAAATTTCCAATTTTCTTGTTTCAGTTATTCGTTTTTCACTTTCAGGCTAACTCCTCTTCTACCAGCTCCAAAAAACCACGATTACCTCCAACCAACAAAACCTGTTTTTTCCCCAAAGTAAGTTTTGTTTTGTTTTGTTTTTGAGATGGAGTCTCACTCTGTTGCCCAGGCTGGAATGCAGTGGTAGGACCTCAGCTCACTGCAACCTCTACCTTCCAGGTTCAAGCAGTTCTCGTTCCTCAGCCTCCCAAGCAATGGGGACTACAGGTGCACACCACCATGCCCACCTATTATTTTGTATTAGAGACGGGGTTTCACCATGTTGCCCAGGGTGGTCACGAACTCCTGAACTCAGGCAGTCCAACCAACTCAGCCTCCCAAAGCACTGGGATTATAGATGTAAGCCACCACGCCCTGCGGTTGTTTGTTTGAGATGGAGTCTTGCCCTCCACCCATGCTGGAGCACAGTGGCACCATCTTGGCTCACTGCAACCTCCACCTCCTTGGTTCAAACAATTGCCCTGCCTTAGCCTCCTGAGTAGCTGGAATCACAGGCACCCGTCACCATGCCCAGCTAATTTTTGTATTTGTAGTAGAGAAGGGGTTTCGCTATGCTGGCCGGATGGTCTTGAACTCTTGACCTTAAGTGATCAGCCCACCTTGCCCTCTAAAAGTGCTGGAATTACAGGTGGAGGCCACTGTGCCTGGCCTTAAGTATTTTTATGTCCATGAGGCAGAAATGCTTTGAGGCATGTGAATAAAATAATCTCCCTCCTGCCTGGCCTGACTTGAACTAATTGATGCCGGGGATGTTAGAGAATTGCCAGAATCCACCTTGATTTCTCACAAACCTCAGATCCTACATGTAGATTTTGGGGTCCTCTGCATCCACAGCATCATTTGATTCAAAATCACTGTATCAACTGCTCTCCACAGGGGTTCCCACAGTAGCTGTTTCATGCCCTAGAGTCCAATGCTTGACGTGTGCGATTGTCACAGAGCCTTGGCAGCCCTGCCATGCATGTAGGGTGGTGACTCACTCTGCAGCTGATTACTAAGTGTCTAAGACTTTCTGTGGGTGGCATCTTGGTTTTAATCACAAACTAAAATTTGACTTACATTTTACAAGCTTAGAAATGTACCTTAGTTTTAGGTCTTTGAGACCTAAAAGGAATTTTGCTCTGTCACCCAGGCTGGAGTGCAGTGACGCAATCTCGGCTGACTGCAACCTCCGCCTCCCAGGTTCAGGTGATTCTCCTGCCTCAGCCTCCTGAGTAGCTGGGACTACAGGTGCACGCCACCATGCCCAGCTAACTTTTTGTGTTTTTATTAGAGATGGGGTTTCACCGTGTTAGCCAGAATGGTCTTTATCTCCTGACTTCATGATCTGCCTGCCTCAGCCTCCCAAAGTGCTGTGTTTACAGGTGTGAGTCACTGTACCCAGCCGACCACCTGTTATTTATTAGGCACTGTTTCAGGTGCTGAGAAAAGAGCCAGAAGCACACAATAGAGTTACCGCTCTCCTGGCACATTCCAGTGGGGACGGGAGGGGAAGAGGACCATAAACAAGTTATTACATCTGAGGTTGGCAAGTGCTACGCAGAAAAACAATGCAGGCAAAGGGTGTAGGAGCTGTGAGGGTGGGGATATTTTATGTAGGGAGGTCAGGCAAGTCCCTGTTTAAAGGGGACAAAAGGAGCCTTGATGATGCCTGGGGCAAGCACACCTGGCAGAGGGACCAGCAAGTCCAAAGGCCCTGGGGTGGGAACTTGCTTGGCATGTCTGACCTCTTCCAGGAAGGTAATGGCCAGTGTGGCACAAGCCGAGGGACTGAGCAGGGAGTGGTGGGAGACGAGCTCAAAGGAGGTAATGAGATGATGGGTGTGGTGGGCAGGACAGTGACCCCCCGCCAAGGACGTCTACATCCTAACCCCTGGAGACTGTGAATATGCTACATTACTTGCCAAAGAGGAATTAAGGCTGCAGATGGAATTACGGTTGCTAATCAGCTGACCTTGAGATGGAGAGATTATCCTGGATTATCCCGACCCCATGTAATCACAAAGATCCTTCTTTGTTCCTGAAAGAGGAGGTCAGAGTGTCAGAGTCAGAGAAGGAGCTGTGACAACAGAAGCAGAGGTTGGAGTACTGCAATTGCTGCTGGCTTTGGAGCTGGAGGCAAAGGCCACTGTGAACATATACACTATTAGTATTCATTTTGTATATAGCATATATAAAGATTTGAATGTGGCCTGGCACAGTGACTCATGCCTGTAATCCCAGCACTTTGGGAGGCTGAGGCAGGAAGATCACAAGGCCAGGAATTCAAGACCAGTCCAGCCAACATAGTGAAAACCCATCTCTACTAAAAATACAAAAAATTAGCCGACTGTGGTGGTGTGCACCTGTAATCCCAGCTACTTGGGAGGCTGAGGCAGAAGAATTGCGTGAACCCAGTAGGTGGAGGTTGCAGTGAGCTGAGATCACACCATTGCACCCCAGCCTGGGTGACAAAAAAAAGAAAAAAATTTAATGGAAAACAAGTTAAACTTCAACATTTCTATCTGAATGAAATACATTTCATTATGTTTGTTTCCATGGAATGTTTCATTCTCCAATAAAGAGGGCTTCACACAGTTCTCTGAAGTGAGTGTGTGTGCACGTGTGTGTGTATAGGAGTGGGTAGGGGGTCACCTGACTCACAGAGCCTTGCCTCAGGGAGAATATGTAGGGGTCCCTCTAGCTGGTTTATGCTCCTCCAAAACAAGTTTCCCCAGCATCATAAGACAACTCTTTTGCCTCCTCGGGCATGACCTTTTCATGAGCACTCCCAATTTGGGGCCCTCAGGAGCCCTGCTTCAGTGAGTTCTCCAACTGCCTTAGGGATCCCCTAAGATCAGGTGAGCAGAGTTCAGAGAGCGGGAGTCAGATGGTGGCGGCCTCAGGGTGCAGCTCCTAAGCTTCTCTTTGCTGGCTGGTTGCTTTCTGAGCATGTCTTTCTCTTGCAGAGTGAAAAGCCATTTAGCAAGGCAAGAAGTGAACAATAAATCATTTTATGTGAGTACAAGCAGGAAGAGGGTGGGGGACTAAAATTTATTGAGTGCCTACTATGTGCAAGCGTGGGCCTTTTACACTTCTGTACTTACCTTGTTGAATCTTCACAAAGATCCTAGAAGGAGGGGCGTTATTATTGCACATTATGCATAGCAGGGAAGTGGAAGAACCATGACCTGAACTCAGCTCAGCCAGATCCCAGAGCGGGTATTTAATTGCCACTCTCTACTCCCTTGCACAAGGAAAACAGTGTCCCGGGGAAACCAGACATGACAGCTCATCCAGGCCAGTGAACAGCTCATGCCCAGATACAGGAAGTCCCTCTGCTGACCTTGGGAAGTCACAAATGCTGGGGGAGAGGCTGCTGGCACCCCTCAGGGGAGCAGCGGCAGGAGGGCGCTGGAGAAGGCGATGGGAGCCAAACTTGGAGGGATACTGACACTTGCCTGGGGTGTGGGGCTGACCCTTCTGGTGTCTGGGAGCCTTTACTGGTCTGACACAGGCACAGGACCAAATAAGAGTTACATTTTAGAAAAAGCACCCTCCGGTGGGATTTAACTGGTATTTTTTACTGGTTTCTGTGTTTATCTAGTTTCTTCTTCTTCTTCTTTTTTTTTTTTTTTAAACAAAAACCATGCAGTCTTTTAATAGTTAGGAAAACAAAATAAACAAACAAAAGTATAATTGCCCTCTAGGTAGAGAGGAGGATGAACTGTGGAGGGAGCAAGATTGAAGGCGGAGAGGCCAGAGCCCAAGAGAAAGATGGTGGTGGCCTGGGGCCATCAGGCAGGAGAGAGGAGAGTAACACAGAGAGACATGGAGGAGGCAACAACAGCAGGGCCCCCGGGGCTGCGGGGTGTACTGCACAGAGATCAGAGCCCCAGCCTTGCCCTGGTCCAGGCCGGCAGAAGCCCTGCCCGGGTTTCTTGGCATCTAATGGGAGAAGGAGGAGGAACTGACATTTTTGTTTGTTTGTTTGCGATCATCCTTGTCATTTTATCGTATGTTGTTTTGTTTTTACCTTACAAAAGCCCTTTGAGAAGGAGTTACTAAGCCCATTTTCTGATAAAGAAACTGAGGCGTAGAGATGCTGGATGGCTCTTGCCTGGTGGCACAGCCAAGATTTACTCAGGCCTCTCTGATTCCAAAACCTGAGCAACTGCCCTGGGTGACCACATCCTCTGGACTCTGGCCACAAGGGTGAATGCAAGGGTTGGGGGCAGGGGTAGTGCCCGGGGCACCAATGGCTCAGTTTGGCACAGAGCTTCAAAGGCCCCTAGGGACATCCAGGAGCCTACTAAGCATCAGGTTTCAGTCTCAGAGATGTGAGGATGAGCTCTAATGGGCGAAGAGCCCAGAAGGGCTTGGGCTCTGGAGTCCCAGGTCTGTTTAAGAGATGATGTGGATAAATCTCAGCACTCCAAGTCTGCCATTTTGTCTGACTTTCCCTTGGTGCCTAGGAAGCGATCAACGTGTCACCTGGCTATCAGCTTGTTCGGAATCGGGAACAGATTTCTGTCACCTTAGGGGATGAGATGTTTGATAGGAAAAAGCAGTGGGAATCAAAGATCCTGGACAAAGGCAGATTTAACAGGTAATGCCACTTGATAAACATGCTGCTGCCTGAAGCTACTCCCACCCGGCTCAGCCCGGCCTCGGGGACAAGCCAAGGCTGCCCTGCCCACACCCAGGCCACTGGTCCCTGCTCTGGAGAGGCTGCAAGGGCACCTCCCCCTCACCCCTGCTCCCCAGTGCTGTGTCTCTCCACATCTGCCTCTCTTTGCTCTGATCCCATCCATGAGCAGATCCGAGGGGCAGGATAAAGATTGATTGGGAGTTACGTGATTGATCCCAAAGGACAGAAATTGTTCCTGGGGCGGGAATAGGTAGAATAGCCATAAATTAGTCTGAATTTGGGACATGCAAATTAGGTAAAGTCGAGTTTCTGGGAGGCTGGAGTGTACAACTCTCTCTTTTTTTTTTTTTTTTTTTTTTTTTGAGACAGAGTCTCTCTCTGTCACTCATGCTGGAGTACAGGGGTGTGATCTCAGCTCACTGCAACCTCTGCCTCCCGGGTTTAACTGATTCTCATGCCTCATCCTCCCAAGTAGCTAGGATTACAGGTGTGCCCCACCATGCCTGGCTAATTATTGTAGTTTTAGTAGAGATGGGGTTTTGTCATGTTAGCCAGGCTGATCTCAAACTCCTGATCTGCCCGCCTCAGGCTCACAAAGTGCTGGGATTACAAGCATGAGCCACCACATTTTTCATTATGTCCAAAAAAACCACTCAGCTCATGCCCCTGGGAGATGCAGTGTGGAAGGCTCTGGCCTGACTCTATCCTATTGAGCACAACCATCCTCTCTGTCTTCAGGCCCCACCCACTCCCTGTCCTCCAAGGCCGTATCAAGCGTATCTCCGTGTCTTCCTTTTTTCATTAACAGATGCAGATTCATCTGTACATCTTTTCATTCTACCCTTTAATCTCTTATTTGTATCTTCTGCTTCATCGATATCCTGCCCATGTTCAGGCATCTTACTTCTTAACTGCACTACTGAATGGCTCTTCAAGTGCCTCTTCCTTCAGGCTTATTTTGCTGTGAGAATTATTTTTTCAACACACAAGTCTAAAGGACCAACAATAGCACACACACACACACACACACACACACACACACACACACACACACAATCATCTACCTATCTGCTAGTATATAGGCAGAACACAACCAACCTGTTAGCAGTGGTTACATTTGGGAAGGGATTCAGATTGGGGGTAAGTCTATAGGGCCCTCAAGTCGAATGAAGCCAGGCCATGGAGTCTCCCTGATCTGACCTGGCCCAGAGGGGCAGGACCCAAGTCCCTGTCTTCCCACCCAAGGGGTATTCAGCCTCTGCTTTCTTTTCCCCTCATCCACAACCCTTTGAAGGTAGAGAATGGGTCAGGCACCTATAGTCAAGCTCACACCCACAGCCACCTCTTGGCCTCACCAGCAAGTTGTCACCAGTTGGGCACAATAAACCCGATAACCTGTGCTTGTTTTACTCCCTGGTAGAGCTATGAGTGTTGTTTATACTGAATATTGTGTTCAAAAGATAGGGGCTCCCTATTATTCAACTTTCTCATGCTCTTTCTCACACCCTGGTACTGTCTCCTCCTGTATCCCCTCTCTTGTTTTACTTATCCCACATTCTCTCTGTGCTCAGTTAGACATAGAAGATGGTTGGCCAAAGAAGTCAAATATCTTGCATTGAAGACTTCCTCTCAGCTCTACTGCACATGCCACCACCTGCCACCTTGTCACTCTAGCCAAACCAGATAGAGCTAAATAATTTACAGATATCATGGCAGCCTTAGACCAGAAACACAGAAAACCATCACCTGTCCTGAAAGCCACTCTCTTAAATCCCCTTTTAGTCCCATCTCTGGCCCATTCCTTGTCTATGGTTCACAGTCAGCATCAATCCTCTTGCCCATCTTCTACTTTCCTAATCGTCTGAACTTCATCCTCTGTTTCAACTATCATTACCAAATCAAAGTCAAACTCTAATGAATTTCGGACATTCTTTTCCTTCCACTCAATATGGCACCAAACCATCCAGTTCAAGTCCAGTGAGCTTACCCAAAAGAGTCAGATCTGAGGCTCAACTGCCCAACTGCCAAATGCCTTCTCTAAGACCACCCCTATCCCTCCACCCCCACCCCATAATGATGGAGCAGGTGCAGCGAATGGCCAGCTCTCACCAGGCCAGAGTCAGTCATGCTCAGGGGCCGGAGTGGCATGGAATGGTAAGCTTTGTGGATGACTGAAGTATTACTTGTCCTACAGGCCCAACATCATTTCTGACCTAGAAGAACAAATCTCAGAGCTGACAGCGATAATTGAACAAATGAACAGAGACCACCAGTCTGCCCAGAAATTGGTGAGTGACATTTATGTTAGCCACCATCTTCATGGGTAAGATAAAATCAGTATTTTCAGATAACCCATGTGCCAGGCAAAATGCCAAGCACTTTACTCATATGAGCCATGTTGTCCAGGTGACAGGACCCTGAAGATAGGGCTGTGTCACCCAGTGGTATTTCCTGACTCCATCTGTATCTGTAATTCCAAGAACTCAAGTTCTTCCACAAGGCTTACCTCATTTATTTCCAGGAGTTCTCCAAGTACCCCTGGTGTGTGCAGTGGCGCTGTCCTCCTCACACGAGGGTGCGCTGGTTGTTTTCCGTCTGGCCTCTGTGGTGCAGTTAAGAGGTTGTGAGGCTTTCACTAACTACATCAGCACACTCGATGTCCAGGGCTTATTCTTGGTGACTATGAAAGCTGCCCACACATCAGAATCTGCAGATGTCATTTGACACTGTGATTCCTGAGGATTTCAGTGACAGCTTTTTAGCTTTTACCATCTGTTTCATCTGGTGACTTCTTCCTTACCTCAAACAGGTGGGCCTGGTGGCCTGGCCTGGAGTGACAGTCAGTGCTGTGTTCAGAAACATCCTCCTGAGGGTTTTGAACCCCTACTGTGTGGTTTTACTTCCCAGCAGGCAGCCTCTCACCCTCTGATATGTCCAAGAAGTGTCCGAATCCTACAGTAACCCAGCTTGACTCAGGCTGGGCCCCAGCCTGAGACCACCCTCCTCCACTCACCAACTGTTGATTCATTATCTTATTTATCTGAAAACGCTGCCAAGTTTATGGTCTCCTTCTGTAGGAAGGAAACTAGGGCTCGGGGAAGTTCAATAATTTGCATGAGATCATTCAACTGAACAGTGGTGAATCATTGGACAAACTGTACATTTTAAGTCACAACCACAGATCCTGCTGAAGACATATTTAGAGACTATTTCCATGAAGGGACCTCTAGATTGTATTACTGAAAACACTGCCACTTGTGAACACCCTATTTATTGTGTGGCCCTGTGGAAGGGAGGCGTGTCGGCTGACCCTGTGCTGCTCTCTGCCTGTCAGAGTGGCTCTGCTGACCACTTGTGCAACACAGTCCCTGGCTCCTCCCCAGTAGTGAGAGAGGAACAAGGACAAACCCAAAACCCTTGTCTTAGCTGCCAGTGGTCACTGACTGGTTTGAAGCATTTATTTATCCTGAGACACTGGCCAGAGGATCTGGCATGTTAGAATGAAGTGCCACCTGAAAGTAAGCAAATCCTACCTGCTAGAATAGAACCATAATGTTAACAAGGATTAACACTAGATTTTAAGTTCCTTGAAGGCAGTATCTGAGTCTTAGTCCTCTTTGGCTCTCCCAAGCCAAGCCCTTTGTTCAATAAATGATTGTTCAATTGGATTACATATCCAAAAATCTGAAGGCCATGATGTCGCAAAGAGATGACGGCCTAGCAGAGACCAGACCTACCCACAAAAACCAGTCAGCAACAGAGATGCACCAACATTATGAACTGAGTAAGTACAAAACAACACAGAGCAAGGCACAGATTGCTCTGTTCCCTTATTAATAATGTGCTCTTTGGCACTGCAGAGTACAGTGGAAGAGGGGTGGGAAGGGGCTGTGCCACTTGAATTGGAAGGCTTTTCAGAAAGTGTGGATCAGAACGGGGCTGGGTCCTCATTAACTGTGTCATTAATGCTGATTTTGTTTCCAGCTCTCCAATGAAATGGATCTCCGCTGTGCTAAGATGAAACAGAACTTTGAAAACAAGAACAGGTACGCTTTCTGGCATGAACCCTTGTGCACTGATGGCCCTAAGGCTTCTGCATCCTTTGCAGGATTTTAGTTCACTGGGACTTCAGACAGTTCCAAACAGAGTTGGAGGATGAAGCATGGGGAAGATGAACAAGGCACGTCTTTGAAGAACAGGATGGCTCGATTCAAAGCCACTAAAATAAACCACAAAGAAAGTTATTACTGCTTTTGCATTTTATCATCCAATCCTTTCAATTCCATTATAATCTCCTTTTTTGTTGGTTACCCAGAAGAGTCATTTTTGTTCTCTACAAGATTTCTGTGATAATTGTTTTTCTCAGCCCAGGTTCCTCCTCCTCTACCTCTTCCTTCTCCTCCTCCACCTCTTCCTCCTCTCCTCCTCTCCTCCTCCTCCTCCTCCTCCTCCTCCTCCTCCTCTTCCTCTTCCTCTTTTTCTTTGTCTCACCTCTACTCTCCCTGGCTGCTAGGTCAGGGCCTCAGCAAAATGGGAAGAAAGTATGAGAGAGTCAGGAGCAAAGTCAAATCAATGGAAAATTAAAAGGAGAAGTCCAAATATACAGAGATAGAGAACAGAATGTAGTAATCATAGTTGGGTCAGAGGAAGAAAATGGGGAGATATTGGTTAAATGATGATGATGCTGCAAATATGTAGAGTGAACAAGTCCAAAGATATAATGTAAAAATGAGAGTTGTATTTAATAATAATGTATTTTATTAAGAACTGTGGCTAAATGAGTTTATAGCTGTTCATACCACAGGGGGAAAATGGTTAACTAAGTGAGATGATGGATATGTTCATTTGTTTCACTATAGTAACCTTTTTACTATATGTATATAGTAATCTCCACTATTGTAACCATTTATATATATATACATGTGTATGTGTGTTTACTGTGCATATATATATAGTAAAAATTACGTGTAGTATACATAGTAAAATGATTACTATAGTGGAGATTATATATGTGATTCATATATATATGAATCTTATCATGTTGTATACCTTAAATAAACATAATAAAATTTATTATTTTTTTAATTGTACTTTAGGTTCTGGGGTACATGTGCAGATCATGCAGGGTTGTTGCATAGGTAAATACATGGCAAGGTAGTTTGCTGCCTCCATCCCCCCATCATCTATATTTGACATTTCTCCCCATGTTATCCCTCCCCACCCCCTGCTGTCCCTCCCCTAGCCCACCTGCAACTGACTCTAGTGTGTGATGCTCCCCTCCCTGTGTCTACGTGTTCTCATTGTTCAACACCCGCCTATGAGTGAGAACATGCAGTGTTTGATTTTCTGTTCTTGTGTCAGTTTGCTGAGAATGTTGGTTTCCAGATTCATCCAAGTCCCTACAAAGGACACGAGCTCATCGTTCTTTATGGCTGCGTAGTATTCCATGGTGTATATGTGCCACGTTTTCCCTGTCCAGTCTATCATTGATGGGCATTTGGGTTGTTTCCATGTCTTTGCTATTGTAAACCATGCCTCAATGGACATATGTGTGCATATGTCTTTTTTTAAAGGAGTTTTGTTATGCGTATAGGTGAAGATAATCTTAACATCCCCTTTCAGGCTACTTGCTGCACACCAGAGCAGCCTCAGAAATCCTGGTGGAGAGATAGCACTCTTAGTTGGGTCAACCCTCACATGTATGGTCAATTGATTTTCAGCAAAGGTGACAAGAATACACAATAGGAAAAGGATAGTATCTTAATAAATGGTGTTGGGAAAACTGGACAGCCACATGCAGAAGAATGAAATTGGACCCTTATCTCACACCATATATAAAAATCAACTCAAAATGCATTAAGACTTAAACATAAGAATAGAAATTGTAAAGCTACTACAAAAAAAGGGAAAAAACTTTATGATATTTATCTGGACAATGATTTTTTTTATTTGACCCCAAAAGCACATGCAACAAAAGCAAAAATAGACAAATGGGATTACATCAAACTAAAAAGCTTATGCACACCAAAAGCTTATGCACAATTAACAGTGTGCAGAGATAACCTACAGATTGTGAGAAAATATTTGCAAGTATGTATCTCATAAGATATTAATATCCAAAATATAAAAGGAACTCAAACAATTCACTATCAAGAAAACAAAAAATCCAATTAAAAAATGGACAAGGGACCTGAATAGATATTTCTCAAAAGAAGGCATACAAATGGCCAACAGACATATGAAAAAATGTTCAATATTGCTAATCATGTTCAATGCAGCACCATTAACAATAGCCAAGTTATGAAATCAAACCAAGTGTCCATCAGTTGATAAATGGATAAAGAAAATGTGGTATAGGGGTGGTAGTGTGGCCGAGCGATCTAAGAAAATGTGATATATATATCACATTTATACACACACACACACACACACACACACACACACACATATATATATATATATATATAATGGAATACTATTCAGCCTTTAAAAAAGAAGGAAATTCTGGCATTTGTGACAACATGGATGGAACTGGAGAGCATTACGCTAAATAAAACAAACCAGGCAAAGGAAGACAAATGCTACATGTTGTCACTCATATGTGGGATCTGAAGCAATCAAACTCATAGAAACAGAGAATAAAATGGCAATTAAATAGACTGGGTGTGGAGGGAATAGGGAGATGATAGTCAAAGGATACAAAATCTGAATTAGGCAGGAGAAATATGGGTTTTTTTTAGATCTATTGCACAGAGTGGTAAATATAGTTAATAAGGTATTGGACATTTCAAAATTGCTAAGAATAAATTTCAGATGTTCTCACTGAAAAAACTTTTAGTCTGGGCATAGTGGCTCACACCTGTAATCCCAGCACTTTGGGAGGCCAAGGTGGGTGGGTCACCTAAGGTCACAAGTTCAAGACCAGCCTGGCCCAACATGGTGAAACCCCATTTACAAAAATACAAAAACTCGTTGGACATAATGGCATAATTATTCCACATTGTATTCATAAATCATAATATCACATTTTATCCCATAAATATATACAATGATAAGTTACCAATTTACAATTAAAAATAGAAATCCTGGTGGAGAGATAGCACTCTTAGCTGAGCCATAAACTTTTATGTATTTATTCGTTTATTTATAAACTTAATTTTTTAGAGTAGTTTTAGGTTTACAATAACATTGAGGGGAAAGTAAAAAAGATTTCCCATATACTTGCTGCCCCCTTGCACACCTGGCTTCCCCCAATATCAATATCCCTACCAGAGTGTAGCATTTGTTATAATCAATGAACCTGTATGGACACATCATTACCACCCAAAGTTCATATTAAAGTTCGCTCTTGGTGCTGTACATTCAGTGAGTTTGGACAGATGTGTAATGACATGTATCCACCATTCTAGTGTCATACATAATAGTTTCACTGACCTAAAAATCTGCTGTGCTCTGCCTATTGATTCTACTTCCCACTCCTAAGCTCTGTCCAACACCGATCTTTTTACTGTCTCCATACTTTCACCTTTTTCAGAATGTCATGTAGTTGGAATCATACCCTATGTAGCCTTTTTAGATTGGCTTTCTTCACTTAGTAATATGCTTTTAAAGTTCCTTCATGTCTTTTCATGCTTGATAGCTCATATGGGCTCATTTTAATACTCATCATGAATTCTGCCAACATCGCCTCCTGGGATGGAGGCTGGAGAGAACTTGGGTTCTAAAATTATCCTTGGTGCTAATGCAGCCCATAGTTCCCCAAGCAAGCTATAGACAAGACTGTGCTGAGTATTAGAGGGGAATCTGTGGTCATGCCGGCTCCATTCAAAACAATGGTTGTAAAAAAAAAAAAAAAAAAAAAGATCACCTCACCCTTTCTGGATAGATGCCAGGATAATGCTTCAGGAAGTGAGGGCCCAAGGCTGGGTATGGTAGCTCACATCTGTAATCCCAGCATGGCAGGAGATCACTTAGTTCCAGGAGTCGTTTGAGACCAGCCTGGATAACATAACAAGACCCCTTCTCTACAAAAAAATTAGAAAATTAGGCAGGCATGGTGGCATATGCCTGTGTTCCCAACTGCTTGGGAGGCTGAGGTGGGAAGCTCACTTGAGCCTGCGAGGTTGAGGCTGCAGTGAGCTGTGACCATGCCACCACACTCACTCTGAGCAACAGAGTGAGACCTGACTCAAAAAAAAAAAGATTTAAATTTTTTAAAAAATAGAATAGTGAGAACCTCACTTCCTGTGGGAGGGTGGAGGGATAGGATCAGATCGGGGTAACAGCTCAGCTCGGGACTTCTTTTTACTAATGATGTGGCCTTTTCCTGGGGTCCCACAGGGAGCTCAAAGAGGCCCATGAAGCAGAGCTCATTGAGTTGGAGAACAAGTACAAAGCAGCCTTGAAGGCGGAGAAGTTGGCTGCCCAAGAGAAGCTAGGTACTGCTGGGACCTGGGAGAATGACCCTGGATGAAGGTCCAAGCAATCGTATTTCTAAGAAGCTTCTAGGGTGATTTCTGGGATACATAAAGGTTTTACTACCTTGGTGATGAGCTTCGGGTGGGGAAGAGGTGCAGGAGAGCTCACATTTGAATTTGAAAATGTGCATATCAGAAGACTAATGATGACCCTGTTGTTTTCCTTTTATCCAGAGGAGATGGGAAAAGAATACAAGTATTTGAAGAATATGTTTCGTATGTATCAGGTGAGGTACAGAGCTCCCTGCTGGATTACAAGAGAAGCAAGGCTCATTCCTGGCTGATAACATTGGGTTGAATCTAGAGCTCTTGACCAGAAAATAATATCCTGAGATTCTCAGCATCCTTAGACCTAAGTGGCACTAGCTGCACCCAGCGGGAGGATGAACCCAATGGCTTCCATGAATGACAGGTCAGGTACCCAAATCCTGAAGAGCACTACTGAAAAATATGTTCGTGATTACAAAAGTAATAGCTTCTTATTTTTTTAATGGAACTACAAAAACCAACATTAACAACAAAATATCACCATCCAATGGTAACCACTGCTAACATCTGTACTTCAGAACTATAGTTGAGATCATATTGTATATTGTATAACTATATATATTTTTATATCTTCTTTATCAGGCATATAAGAAACTTTCCTTCCTTTTTAATGACTAGATATTATCCTAGTGAAATTGCCATTGGGTTCTAAAATTTTACTGTTCCCCTATTATTGGGCATTCGAGTGGTTCCAATTGCTTACTGTAATAGATAATACCACTTTGAATATCTTTGATTCTAGAAGTAGAGTTCTTGTTCAAAAGAAATGAACTTTTTTTAAAAAAGTCAACTTTTATTTTAGGTTCGGGGGTAAAGATGGGGGGTTTCACCATGTTGGCCAGGCTGGTCTCAAACGCCTGGCCTCAATTGATCCAGCTGTTTGGCCTCCCAAAGTGCTAAGATTACAGGTGTGAGCCACCACACCCCACCTATCCCAGAGGTTTTGATAACTTGTGTCATTATCTTCATACAATTCAAAAAAATTTTAAATTTCCATCTTGATTTCATTGTTATCCCAGATATAATGCAGAAACAGATTATTTCATTCAAAGCATGGAGTCCTCCTGTCATCTCAGAATAAAACCCATCCATTTAATCAGCTAATTTGATGAAGGCACAGGAAAAAAAGTTAGGGCATGATTTCTTAGAAGGTAGATGAAGAGAGTTAGGAGATGGGTAGTGGGGTTGGAAAGGACTGAAGCCTCAAGCCTTCATCCTATTTAATTTTAAAGTACAGTGACCAACTAGTTCTAGTTTCCCTGAGACTTTCCAGGTTTTAGCACTGAGAGTCCAGAGTCCCAAAACACCCCTAAGTGCCAGGCAAACAAAGACACTCGGTCAACCTACCAAAAGTTAAACACCAGTATCACCTCTGAAATTCTATTTACCACTTACGGTTTAAGTTTTGAGCCTGTGTCTAAAACTTAGTTTTTAAGATACTCCTTGGTATAATCAGGGAAAACATCACAGAGCAAAGCCTTAGACATGTGAGTGGTAAATAGACTAACCTAAAAAAGAAGGTAGTCAGCATCCTTAGACCCTATGAGCAGCATCCAGGTCCAGGGCCTTCTCCATCCTAGGGTTCCATGTTCATGAAATCTGAGCCACGCAACAGGACTGATATTGGATTAGGCTTATTTAACCTCACCCACAAAAGAAAGGTTTACTGAGAAAAAGCAGACATTCTCTGAAAAGCATCCCCTTATTTTCTAAGTGTTCAAATTAACTGCTAGGCATTTCCTTTCTTCTTGTGCTATTGAAGAGGGATTTGTGATTCGGGGGAGCTGACCTATGATTCTTCAACATGGAGAACTCCACCTGTCTTCAAAGGAAGCTCAGTTCTAGTGGGGCAACCCCTTGACCTTTGGGTTCCACAAGCCCTCTCCTGGGCTGGAATTTACTTCTTCCCAGTCACCCACGGAGGAGCCGCTCAGTGAGGGCCCCAGGTAAGGGAAGAGGCACAGAACACGGTGCTGGGCCCTGGTGTCAACTCCCTGAGCTGAGTTTTACAGCCTCTCCAGGTCACCTTTATTTTAGGACTCTTTTCTTCATGGCACCTTTGTACCTCCACAGGACAGTATTTATGATGAAATGGAAGAGAAGTGGTCAAAACAGAAGGCAAAATGGGAGAAGGATGAGAAGTCGGAGCGAGAAAAGGTCCTGCTACAGCAAAGTGAGTACAGAAACTCTAGCTTTTTTGATAACAAGTGCATTAAAAAACTGCCATGAAGTTTGGTTGTGACTTGAGGAAGGTGGCCTTAGGCTTACCAATGGTGATGGGCCACTTGTTAGATACCTGAATGGAAGGTGCCCAGAGTTTTTGTGAAAGCAAAATGACAACAAGGGTACGGTCTTTTTTGAAGTTCAGACATCTTATGTAAGAGAGTCTAAGCCTGTTCCTTCTGAAACTCATTGCTCCAAGTTTGCCCGTGATGGCTGAAACAAATGCTAGAATCACTGTACGGAGTGCAGACTTCTTATCTAGACACAGATGAACCCAAAGTTCCAAGAGTTCTTTAATTATAATGTGAAATGTTCACTTGCATGTGAGAAGGGGGCAGATAGGAACAACACAATCCATTATGCTAAGAGCTCCTATATTCCCATGCCTTCCAGAGGGAAGCCACACTTGGTAAATATTTTTAATATTTCCAACAATTAACACAGAGTTTGCATCATACAAAGTACTCTGTAGGCATACCTCCCACTCTCACTGAGCTGGTTCATAAATGGAAAAAGAAGAGAATTTTTGGAGGCTACACCAGGCCTAGAAGACTAGTTGAGGTGGGAGTGGGAGCTCTGTAGACCTATTCCACGTTCTACGCCAATTGCATTCATCTAGATTTAGTTGATTTTAACAAATTACTCATTTAAATGCAGATACTCCATGGGAAAATTAATTCACATTCTGGTGGGCACTCTAGACTGCCAGAAGGTGATATGAAGACCCTGGAGTTAAGGCTGGGGAATGGGATGGGGAGCTGCTCATGTTCGGGCTTTACCTAGAATCCTGGTGCAATAGAACCCAAGTCACATCCCAGATTCTAGCTACTCATATGACTCTCATCTCATTGTCAAAGTCTAAGTAAAGATGTAACTGCCAGTTCTGGAGGGCCAGAATTTAGCTGCTCACCATCCAGCCCTATCAGAGGCCTACCCTCTCAGACCAGACTCCCTGTCCATCCCCAGAATTCTGACACTGAAGAAATCTGTGTTTCCCTTTGCCCCTCCTTCCTCCTATTTGATACAGGGGCTCTACTGGCAGGTTTTCTTGCTCAGGAAAACAGCTGAAGCCTACCTACACCCCAGCACTAAGTACAGGATGAATTTTATTGCTGGCAAAGTCATATTAGCCAACAGCTTTATTTTAGAATAAGGATATCCAACATAGCAGAGTGGTTACATCAGCAGAGGGAATGGACAAAATAATAAACAACAGATTCTAAATAAACTACACACAAAACAACCAGAGATGTTGGTGGTAAATCCCATGTGACTAATGTGATTGAGGACAACCACCGCACCTACCTCACCCTCAAGCATCTCCAGGTGAGTGTCAGAGGTTGAACACCAGGCTGCAATGACCCTGAGTCTGACCCAGTCTGGAATTGCTTTTATCTTCAGATATTCTAGGTTTCTCATTGTGCCTGCTTGTCCCATCTTTACACATATATGTGCTTTCCTGTCACTTCCACAGAAAAAAAGATGACCAAAAAATTTGAGTTGGAGTCAGAAGAAGAAAAGAAGAAAATAAATGAATCCTGCAGTGCTGTCTTTGAGAACTTCATTCAAGAGAAGGAGGTAACTCAGCCCAAAGCACCTTGGTGATTGAATCTGCAGTCCAGGTGGTATGCCCAGGTCCCCAGGTGTGCCTCCATAATTAGGTGATCTTTTTGTCTTTCTGGGCATAATCCTCCTCTCCTAGCTTTCTGGAAATGTATGCAAACAGACTGACAGTCTTGCTGTCCTTTAACTGTACAATCTTTCCACAGCCTGGACAGTCTTATCAAAGAGTTCTTAGAACAAAAATTACAATTAACTGGAAATTTAAAAATGCTAAACACACAGAAACTGAAATTCCTTATTTTGCCAAAATCCCATCTCTGAATATTCTTCTCATTCTTCACTGTAGCTGTATAGCTGTAGTGCTATTACTGGGCACTAGGGCAGATATAGGTTTAACTTTATAGGAACTTGCCAAACTATTTTCCAAAGTAGTTGTACCATTTTATTCTTGCATGTTAAATATATTGGAATTCTAGTTGCTCTACATCCTCCACAGCAATTAGTATTGCCAGTCTTTTAATTTTGGCCATTCCAGTGCGCATGCAGTGGTACTTCATTATGGCTTTAGTTTCCCTGATGACTAATTATGTTGGGCATTTTCTCCTGTGCTTGTTGCTCATTCATATATCTTCTTCCGTAAAGTACCTGTTCATCCTTTTCCCATTTGAAAAAGTAGAAGGTGCTTATATTTTTATTGTTGATATGTAGGAGTACTTTTTATGTTGTGGGTACATTTTTTTTGTCAGATATACATGTTATAAACATTATCTCTCAGCCTGTGATTTGCCTATCCATTTTGTTAATGATATATTTCTATGTGCAAAAGTTTTAAAATTTGATGGAAGGCAATTATTATTTTTTTCTTTTGTAGTTACAGATTTTTGTGTCCTCTCTATGAAATCTTTGCCTATTCCAAGGTGACGAAGATACTCTATTTTTTAGAAGCTTTAAATTTTTAGCCTTTACGATTCTATGATCCATTTTAAATAATATTTGTATATGAAGTGAGGTACAAAAGTCATGGGTCATTTTTGTCTATGTGGATATTCAATTGTCTTAGCACCATTCTTTAAAAACACTTTCTTTTCCCCATTGAGTTGTTTTAGTGTCTGATACAGTTTGGATTTGTGCCCCTACCCAAATCTCTTGTCAAATTGTAATCCCCAGTGTTGGAGGAGGGGCCTGGTGGGAGATGATTGGATCATGGGGGCAGATTCTCCCCCTTTCTGTGTTTGTGATAGTGAGTGAGTTCTTGAAAGATCAGGTTGTTTAAAAGTATATACCACCTCCTGCTTCTCTCTCTTCCTCCTGTTCCAGTTGTATAAGACATGCCTCCTTCCTCTTTACCTTCTGCCATGATTGTAAGTTTCCTGAGGCCTCCCCACCCATGATTGCAGAACTGTGAGCCAATTAAAACTATTTTCATTATAAATTACCCAGTCTCTCAGGTAGTTCTTTATAGCAATGTGAAAACAGACTAATACAGTGTCTTTGTTGTTTTGGAGGAGAGAGGATTCTCCATTCTGTTTAATTTTACTATTTTTCTATACTTAGGTCAACAACACATTGTCTTAACCACTGAAGTCTGAAATCAGGTAGTAAAGGTTATCTAGGTTTGCTATTGTTTTTCAAGATGATTTTGCCTTTCCACATTCTTTGTATTTTTACATAAATGTTAGAACTAGCTTGTCAGTTTAGAATTAGCTTATCAAGGAAGCTTGCTGATATTTTGATTGGGATTTCATCGAATATAAAGATCAATCTGTGGTGAAATTAATTCTAAAGAGTATTGAATCTGTACACTGACATAAAAAAAGCTTTTGATGAAAATACAATTTCTTTTAATATTTGTCAGTGTGATAAAGTTGAACATAAGTAAGATTTTCATTAACTTCAACATGTCATGTCACTAGTTTATAGTGTGTGCTTCTTTATTGCAGGGTCTAAGATTTGGTAAATATTGTATTCCTGAATCCTAGACTGGCTTTCTTAACTCCCTAGAAGATGTGCCAGAACCACAGTGCTAACCTTTTCCAAATAAAATTGGTTTTAGGAGCTCTTGAAACAACATGAAAGTGACACCTTGCAATTAGAAAAGCTGAGAAAAACCAAAGAGGTAAGCTTTTTCATCCTTTCCTGTGGACTTTGTATATCACAAATACACCAGTAAAATAACAGGCTCTCAATATAATGGAATCAATGATAATTTCCCCAAAACCAATAAGAAATGGAAGACCTAAAGCTGAGTTTACTGGGTTCAATAAGTTAAAAATAATTTTTGAAATTATCTTTATTTTGAAATAAAGCCAGTGGTCTTTTTAAAGTCTAATTTGAACAAGTGTATCAGCAATATACTATGTGATCTTCAATGTTGAATGACTTTCATTTCTAGCAAGATTCAAACCACAAATGATCTTTGCATCATAAAACACCAAGTTTTTCCCTTTGAATTCCGGAAAGTATAAAACTGTCTCCTGTGGAACTGTCACCAAGCCTCTCCTTAAACTCGGAGTGTACCCCACACATGACAACTTCCTCAGGGACTCTATCCTGGGACAAATTAAGGCAGTCTGTAGGAGACAACTGAAGAGAAGCTGTTCAAACCCACAAGGTGATGTGTGATTCTTCCATCACTGAGAATTTGATTTGGATCCAGAATGGACATGTTTTAGAAAACATTAGTCATAATATCAGTCATTATAAAGGCATTATAAATGAATTCTATCTTAGAGCTCACACAGGGCTTCAGCATTATTGAAAGGTAAACATACTGTAGTGTCCTACACGTTCAAGAAATGGGCTTTGGAGGCAGGTATACCCAGTGTATTATAATAACTATTTTAATGAGCTTGTCTACTAATTCTGTCATTTGTGTTATGTCTGGATCTGTTTCTCTTCATTGATTTTTCTCCTCATTTATGGTCATATTTCCTTGTTTGCATACCTGGTAAGTTTGGCTTGGATGTCAGCCATTGTGATGTTTACCTTGTTGGGTGCTGAATATTTTCATATTCCTTTAGATATTCTTGAGCTTTGCCCTGGGATGCAGTTAAGTTGCTTGGAAACAATTTGATCTTTTTGAGCCTTGCTTTCTAAGCTTTGTTGGGCAGAATTAAAGCAGTTTGTAGTGTAGAACTAATTTTCCCCCACTATTGAGGTAATACCCTCTGAGTACTCAGCACCACACCCTCTGTACAAGAAGGATTTTCTACTCTGCCTGGTGGAACCACGAACTATTCCCAGCCCTGTGTTGGCCCTGGGGATTGTTCCACCTGCTTCTTGCTGGTGATTTCTTCCCCTAACCTCAGCTCTTTCGGTTTCTTCCCCCCATCACTTTACCCTAGAGGCACTCACCTCCTTGCTGTTTCCTTAACAGGCCAGGATGCTCCTACCTTGGGGTCTTTGATATTTTCTCTTCTTGAAAACTCTTTCCCAGATAGCCACATGACTAACTTCCTTTCCTCCTTCTGGGTTGAATTTTTCTGGTCTTTATTCAAATGCCACCTTCTCAGAAGCCACCCTATTTAAGGGTTCAGCTCCCTGCCCCGACATTTGCTTTTCTCCAAATGGGACACCACTAGAGGTTTTTGAGGAGGAGAATATCATTTGGGAAAATAACTGTGGCAGCAATGTGAAGAAGAATCTGAAGAGGTGAAATGATGGGAGGCAGGACCTGTTAGAAGGGTCAACTCCCATTTACACCTCAACCTCACTTCTGCTCCCATCCCAGCCATGGAAACTGCTCTGTTAAAATCACAAGTAACTTCAGAGTTGCCAAATCTGAGGAATGCTTCACCTTACTTGACATGAGCAGTATCAGGTGCAACTGATCACTCTCTCCTTGCAACGTTTCCCTCTCTTAGCTTTCATGGGCTTCTGGTGTTTCCTTCACCTCATACTATACTACCCCACCGACTACCAGTTTCCTCTATTTTTAATATCTTGCATTGGGGTGGCACATTAGTTGCAATAGATAAGCCAAGGTTGATGGTTTGTTGTTGGTTTTGTTTTTGTTTGTTTGTTTGTTTGTTTTGAGATGAGGTTTTGCCCTTGTTTCCCAGGCTGGAGTGCAACGGCACAATTGGCTCACCACAACCTCTGCCTCCCACGTTCAAGCTATTCTCCTGCCTTGGCCTCCTGAGTAGGTGGTATCACAGGCATGTGCCACCATACCTGGCTAACTTTGTATTTTTAGTAGAGATGGGGTTTCTCCATGTTGATCAGGCTGTCTCGAATTCCTGACCTCAGCCTCCCACAATGTTGGGATTACAGGTGTGAGCCACTGTGCCCGTCCAAGTGCATTCTTATTAACTAAAGTCCTAATGTAAACTATGGTTTACATTAGGGCTCTGTCTTTGTGTTGTACATTCTATAGGTTTTGCCTATTACACTATGTCATGTATCCACCATTATAGTGTCATACAGAATAGTTTCACTGCTCTAAAAATGCGCTCTGCCCCACCTATTCATCCCTCCTTTTCCCTCTCAATCCCTGGAAACCACTAATCTTTTTTGTGTCTCTAGTTTTGCCTTTTCCAGAGTGTCGTATAGATTAGTAGGTATTTAATAAAGACTTGTTTAGTGAATGAATAACTGATTGCCATTGTAACCATTCACAGGAGCTCTAGTGAGGCTGAAGAGAAGGATATATATGGGTGAGACAGACAGGAGGTAGGACTGACAGGATGTGATTGACCACGAGTGATGCAGGAGTAGCTCAAGTTGCTCCCTTGCATTACAGTCCAGGTGCCCTGGAGAAGAGAATAGACAGACAGACATCGGCATGATGTCCTGAAACAACTTCTTCTTATGCAGGTCCTAGAGGAAGAACTGCAGGTGCAAGCTTTTGTCCTAGAGTCCCTTAACACAAACCTCCACTATACCCAGTTGGAACTCCAGAAAGAGGTGAGTCCCTGCTGGAGTGGGGGTGGGGGTTGGGGGAAGAACCCAGGTCTCCGCATAGCTCTGCCATATAGCTCTGCCCTGGATGGCTCTGGGTTGGGGAAGATACTATTAAAATGTATGTCTTTCAGAAAGCTACAGTGGGAAATCTGGAGAAAATGCTTCAGACCAAGCTTGCTGAAGCTGAAGAAAAGTATAAGTACACCATACAGATCCTGATGGAAGAGAACATTCATCTGAAGTGCGGCGGCTGCTGAAACAGACATGGCTGAGTTCTCTTTAGGAGTGGGAAGGAGTTTGAGTGAGAAGTGGGTTAGGAAGATAGAACAGGTGCTCCCTAATAATGTCAAGGCACGGGCGTTTTCCAGGAGGGAGGTATGTCACTCTAAGCCAGTGACACAAAGCCAGACAGTTCACTTGAGGTGGAGTGGTGATGTGTCTAGACTTCTCCCCTTCACCTATGTCCTTGTTTCTATGCAAAACAACACAGGAAACAGCACAGGAAATGTATCTGCCAGTTTCTGAGTTTGCTCAGTTCTATGATTGAGGGTGGTTTTTAAATCCATCTCCCCTGAGAGTTTGGTAGTCTTACCATTACGTGCAGCTGCTTCTGGTTCCTATGGAAATCTGCTTTGGATCAGAAGGTGTACTGTTACTTAAGCTGCATCTTAAATCATTCAAATAAATTTTGGTCAGTTTTTTAATACAGGAAAGTTATTTATTGCATTGATTCAGTAGAAAATTCCTTATATAGGACTTTAGTCACCTAAACACCCTACCTCGCTAAATTCAAAACCACTGTAAGTAATGAGTGAGAGACTGCCATGGTAAAGGAATGAAGGCACATTTCTCTCCCCGCCCCTCAAATATCCTATACCTTTTCTAGCTTTTGAGTTGATATTGATACATCTTTCCTTTCTTTTTACAGGCAAAAGATAATGTCTAAGAATGAAGAAATTTATGAAGGATGTTCTGGGAGATTGGCCTCTGTTTCTGTTTCTAAGGATGATTCTGACACTATGGAAGATGGTAACAAGAAAGGACAAGAATCACAAACAAAAAGCTGCTCTCAGGGTTGAAGATGGTAGGCACACCATTTCTGTAGGCCTAGGAAACTGCTGTGAGGGTTTTCTTGAGAAAATGCATCTAATGAGTTTAGTACTTGGGCAGCTCTGATTCTATTTTTGCTTTCTTCTGAGTGACTGAAAATGTTTGAATTCTCATCTGAATTTCACAGCTTATCATGAACACTTCATTGAAAAATGACGCTCTCTGTACCAAGAGCTGAGCTTTCTCTGAGTTGTGTACTATTTTTCTTCTACCCTTACGTATTTCATTAGAAAGAAACTGATTTGAAGGCCTTCTTCTTATTGAACGTGTACTATATTTGGAGCTGTACCTTTGTCCCCTGGGGCATTTAGGTCACAAAAAAAAAGATTAGGTGTTGATTTTATTCTAAAACCTTTTTCTCTCATACCCAGGCACCCTACTTCCCTACCTCTCAATCATGTTCCCTAGCCTACGACTTAGGAAGAGTTTCTGATGATTCTTATCACCTTCTCTGGACCATCACCGGAATTCAGACACCCACAGGGCAGGCAACATAATTAAGTGAAGTAGGCTAGACATACGGAAAACAATTGCACGAGCACAGTGATCAGTGGCAACCCACAGCAGCCTCAGTAGAGGGGCTTGGGCAGGGCTGGGCACAGGGGGTGGGGAAGAGTGACCCACAGAGGGCTGTCCCATCTGAAGAAGGTGCTTCTCAGACGTTTGCCATGCAAGAGCAGGTCAATATTGTCAGATATTCTGATTTTTTTAAAGAAGGTATTCTGGTGTTTATGTGATAACTCCTAATTTTTAAACATTGACAACCTCAATGTGTGCTAATAGTGGGAGACTCAAGTAGAACATGTGTGTGGTCCAGATGTTTTCCACCTGTGAGATGCCATTGGCAAAAACCAAAACCAAACACAAAAAATCTCTGAGGAGCAGTAAGATCAAATTATACTTTATTCTATTAAAAAATGTTTTTGAAAAAAAGATTTTTAACTTTTAAAGATAATTTAATTCTAACAATTTAAACTAATCCAAGCAGAGATATTTTCTTATTCTTTTTTGTCTTTTATTTTCCAAGCAGTGATGAAAGAGCAAATGCAAATGCAAATGCGTGAAAAGACCAGAGCATTGCTAGCAAAAAGCAAATAGAGTTAGCTGAGCATGTACACATCACAAAAGCAATAAGAAGTCAAAAGTTAATTTGGGGACAGATTATTTAAAACATAAAATAATTTGAATTTTTAAAAGAGTTTAATCAAATTTTATTTTTAAAAAAAACATATTTTTTGAGGTGGGATCATGTTCTATCACCCAAGCTTGAGTACAGTGGTGAAAACATGGCTCACTGCAGCCTTGATCTCTAAGGCTCAGGTGATCCTCCCACCGCACCCTCCCAAAGTGCTGGGATTACACTTTATGTGTACTTTAATAGTGTTGGACAGTTTAAATGGAAAAAGAATTAAAGTTAATAGAATATTAACAGTGGACTTAATGTTGATAGGTAACAATTTGAACTATCAGCCCTCTATATTCATAGCTGGATTTTGTTGGCTTCTGATATTTATTGCCACCAGCTAAAACATTCTCAAAGCCTTAGGCAAAAGAGAAAGGAGACAGTGTTATTGTTGTTAATATCCTATTAACTTTACCTCTTAAAAAAAGTGCAAAATAATTAATAAATTATGTAGCAAATCAGAAAATTAGTAAATAAACATAGTGTTATATATCTAAATAGTACCATCAGTCAGAAGAGAAAACAAGTTTTTTTCTTAGTGTGAAAGTAGGCTGCGGCATCTGCTTCCCCATGTTTTTCTTATCGTCTTTGTTGCTGACTTCATAGTTCACTTCAGTCAGGATGGTGAGAATATCATCGCCTCTGAAATACATCACATAACATTGTGACTATCTGTGGGGGAAAAGCAACTGATGAACTGTTTCCTCTGCTGTGCTCAGAGATAGTTCTATCGTTTTTTCTCTCAAAATATCAGTTATTTGATACAGTAAGTTGCTAAACCAAGACCTACTCCAGCTTTGCAGGTAAATGAGTTATCTCAGAGCTTAATAACTTCCTTCGGTTTATTCAGGAACTCTGTTGACCATCAGAAACCTCGGTGTCTGTATTAGAGTTGGTTTCTTTCTCTCCTGACCTGTGTGTATCTCACTCTTCTCCATGCTACTTGGCTCCCACAATTGCTTCAGTGCCCCCCAATATTCTCTGCCTCAAATTGACATTGCATCTGTGGATTCATCTTTGATGCAATTAAACTTAAGGCAACTGAAAGCAGAATGTCTCCTGCAGCCACTCCCAACTTCTCACCAGGATCTCTTAGTGTTTTTGTTTGGGCAACCTCTTCTTCTACCTTGGTAGCTAGCCCCAGAAACCTTGCAGGATTCATGATCTAAGTCACAAAATCTAAGTTAGATTCATGATCTGAGTTATGGGAAATTCTCACTCTTCATATACTCAAAACACGAAATACAGGGCTAGAAGGAATGTGCTACTTATCTCCCACAATGAACGAAGAGGTTTTGAGAACGGTTTGCTATTATAGAACTTTTGACAGAGTTGGAGGATGTTAAACATTGAAGTGGGTGACTGCCTTCTTGGAAGATTCCCAAAACTAGTTGAATTGGCTCAGTCGTGTTTTGGCCTAATGACAGAGAGCTGGACTATATCACTACCGTCCTTTCCTGCTCTGTGATACCCTGATTGTCCTTTGAGGTACTGAATAAAGGAATAAAGCATCTCAGCTTGTCCATCTATAAACTAAGGATGTTAGCAATTGCCACTCTCCCCCTTTGCAACTGACCTGGGAAGTACACCTATGTGATCCACAGCTAGATACTTAGAGATGAATGGAAACCACTCCCCTTGGACAGTTCTCTGATCTGTTAATGTTATCTAAACCATTAAGCATTTTCTACTAGGCTCTGAATATGAGTAGATGGTAGTGGTGATGGAGTAGGTGGGGAAGGCAGTGTAACAGTGAGGAGGGCTGGGTAGGCAAAACTTACCGAGGACATCGTTCTCTCAGGCTCTGGCAAAGTGACTGGATATACCAGGTTCCCTCCACAGGGTTTCGGTAGGAAACACAGTTATTCACAGTGGCCATCCCCAGTAGAAAGTCAGCCTCATCTGGGATGTATCTCGTCTGAGGTGATGATAAGTCCATTTCCAAATAAGGTTGCTTCTCTGAATCAGTCTCAACAGGTATACCTTTCTGGTAGTTATCCCCCTGACAAGCCTGAATAAAAAACACTTTCGGTTTTCCAGCAAGGGAAGGGCACTTCAAACCAGTGAACTGAGATGTCAGCTCATATATGGGGGCCTCACGTCCATCCGTGCCGTAGATGATGCCCTTGTCTCCATGGGAGAGGATACAGCAGATGAAGCAGTCCTTGTTACTGTGGTCCATGCGTTGGTAGATTTGCAAAATCTCATAGATTCTCTCTGCTGTGCAGTCATTGTAGGGCTTGATCTCAAAATGAAGCTCTTTAAAGGTCTTGCTCAAAGCCTCTGAAAAGTGAAATTTGAAAAGACATGTTATACCACAGTAATTCACAGACCAGAGCTGGAGAGCACATTTTGAACCAGAAATGCAAGAGCAAAACCCTCTGTATTAGTAGCTGGATTCTGTAGGCTTCTAATATTTATTGGCACCAGCTAAAAACATTCTCAAACCCAGAGGCAAATGAGAAAGGAGAGAGTGTTGGTCTGTTTTCTCTACTAAACCAGTTTACAGGATGGGTAGGCCATCATTTAGGGTTACTACTGAACTAATTTTTAAAATGACTGTATTATTTATATAATCAGAAAAAAATAATTTTCGAATAAAAGATCCAACTTATTTTATCACTATTCTCAAAGTTATATTTAGTGAAATAAAAGATATGAATTGAAAATAAAATGGAACTAAAAGACCTTTTACAAAAAGTTATCCCCTCTCTATCCCTCCCTATTACCTAGTCATATTCCATGAAGGCAACCACTTTCAGTTTTTAACCACTTTTTTTTTCACATTAACCTCCATTTTGTAATGAATTTGGGTACCCCGCTCATTACTTATTTACAAATTTTAAACTTTCGCATTGAGTTTTTATCATGGAGAATAAGCATTTGGTGCTCCTACACAATTATTTACAATCTTTGGTTGAATCCATGGTAATATTTTAATTTTCTATTTCTTTAGACAAGGTCTCACTCTGTCACCCAGGCTGGAGTCCAGTGGCATAATCTCAGCTCACTGCAACCTCTACCTCCTGGGTTCAAGCAATTCTCCTGCCTCAGCCTTCTGAGTAGCTGGGACTACAGGCACGCGCCATCACACCCTGCTAATTTTTGTATTTTTAGTAGAGATGGGGTTTTGCCATGTTGGCCAGGCTGGTCTTAACTCCTAGCCTCAAGTGATCTGCCCACGTTGGCTTCAAAAAGCGCCGGGATTGTAGGCACAAGCCACCACCTCCAGCCCATAGTAATATTTCTATTTTTAAGTAATATTTCTATTATTAAGATGATGTAAACGTAATGTTATTTCATCATGTTTCCTTTCTTATTAACTTTTTTGCCTTTCCTGGAAGTAGTAATTGTCTTATTTTTTCATCTGCTTTGTTTCCTATATGCTTAACATTATTTTTTCTCCAAATGCTCTAATGGATCTGGTCAAAATCTTTCAACATTTTCAGGCTATTTGTCTGACTCATTTTTATTTCTTCCTGGAAAACTTCCCATCCAGAGCACTGCATCATTCTGCTGTAATACCAACTGGCTGCTCCACAGGCCAGATGAATGTCTCTTGTCCTGGGACATCTCTCTGTCGCTTCCTTGGTAGATTCCCTGTTTCCTCCATCTATGACTTCCCCTTTCTTATTAGTTTCCTTTACTGGAGCATAACCACTAGTGCATGCAGAGTAAATTTTTCGAGCCCCTGTATGAGTCTTTAATTCTGCATTCATACTTCTAAACAGTTTACCTAGACATAAGAGCTCTATTTCCAAAAGCATTTTGGAAATAGGCACACACCACCACTCTTCTGAAACTTGGAAATACAACTCTATGTTCTATTTCCATTTATGACTTCCTCTTTCTTATTAGTTTGCTTTGCTGGAACATAACCACCAGGGCATGAAGAGTACATTTTTCAGCCTTTGTATGAGTCCTTACCTCTACTTTCATACTTTTAAACAGTTTACCTAGACATAGAGTTCTATTTCCAAAAGCATTTTTCCTTAGAATTCCAAAGGCCGAAGGCCTTTCTTCACAATCTTTTAGTTTTCAGTGTTGCTAGAGAGAAGACCTTTTCATTCCTGATACTTTATATTTATAATTTGGCTTACTCTTTTCTCTTTCCAGAAGCTCCGAGGGTATGATATGTTTGGAAGTGATTCTTAATCCATTATACCCTTTCAATCTGGAGATTGCATCATTTAGTTCTTGGAAAGTTCCATTTCCCCCATTTTCTCTGTCTTTCTTTTTGGGACTCTTATTGTCAAAAATTGGACATCCTTGATTTAGCTTCAAATTTTTTATCTTTTGCTCATATTTTCTATTGTTGTCTTTTTATCTTACTCTCTGAGACTGTATCTTTCATTGTTAAGGAGTCTTTCTTGTTCTGTCCCTTTTTCATAACATCTTGTTCTCTTACGGACTTTTACTCTCTAAGAATACTAAATACCAATATTAAACACTAAAAAAGATCGCTTTTTTCTCAACATTATCTTTGTTTGATTCATATTCTGTTTCATATTTTTTTTTCTTGTTTGAATTGCCTCTCTTTTTATTTGTTTACTTATTTTGAGACAGAGTCCACTGTCACCCAGGCTAGAGCACAGTGGCATGATCTCAGCTCACTGCAACCTCCACCTCTGCAGTTCAAGTGATTCTCCTTCCTCATCCTCCATAGTAGCTGGGATTACAAGCGCCTGCCACCACACCCAGCTAATTTTTGTATTTTTAGTAGAGACAGGGTTTCACCATGTTAGCCAGGCTGGTCTTGAACTCCTGACCTCAGGTGATTCATCTGCCTCAGCCTCCCAAAGCGCTGGGATTTACAGGTATGAGCCACTGCACCCAGCACCCAGCTGCCTCTCTTTTGTACTAGAGGCTTTCTTCAAATGCCTGCTGACCTTCGGTTGTCCATTCACAAATTGACTAGTCCAAAAGTTGACTGAAAGCTCTGTGTTTGCGGATGTGGTTTGTTCACTAATGGACTTCATAGCAGGATGATTGGTTGGGGACCTGATTACTTTGTTAGGAAACCCCCAGATGTGATTATCTTGCCTTTCCACTGAGTCCAGGTTGGCAGGTGCACTATGAGTCATACACATGGCGGAAACTGGATCCTGGCAGAGAGGAGACTCAGACGCTGGTTCGAGAGTACTTTTCCTGGGAGGGGGCCTTCCAACATGTGGGCAAAGCCTTCAGTCAGGACAAATCTTCAAGCGAATGTCTCTTGCCATCACCTAACTGCCTGCACCTGCTCTTCAGGGAGATGGGGGTCATTTATCTAGAGCTTTCAGCTTCTCCAGAGGTAACTCTGTATTTGCTATCAGTGTTCTTGGAACCAAGTTGGTTTAGAGATCTGACTCCATGCCACCAGTAGGTTTTCTTCAATCTCTCTGTGTTCAGTAAAATGTTTCATGGCTTCCTTTGCTGGGCCTGGTACACCCAAGTGTAGAGCCTCTCTGGTTCAATGCTATGAGAAAAACTTCCTATTCCTTATGACGGTAGAATAAGAATACATGCTGGCTCTATGATTAGGGGTTTGAATCTGAGGATTATATAGGCTTTCAAAGAATTGTCCTGTTTTCTGCTCATTGCCTCACCTACACTTAGTTCCTCCAGTTGCTGATTTTTTCCAGGATTCTGTGGGGTAAATAGGCTTGCCTCTTTTCTGTGTTCCCCTCTGTAATCAGTTAGGTTGTAGCTTTCTCTGTTAAGTCAACTACCTCTACTCTTTTTTTTTTTTAACTCCCCCAAATTGTTGTAAACCTTTAATTAGCTATTGTCTCCATTCCTGTTCCTTGATCCTTGTTAGATTATTCCTTTTTTATTCCTTCTCCAGCATTTTGTCCCTTTCAGCACATCAGAGCTGAACATAACCCATCAGTCAAAATACAGTCTCACCTCTCTTCTCTGCCCAGCGGCTTACTTTGTGACAGCACAGAGAACCCCACCCCCTTTCTCTGTGGAACCACCATGGTGGCTGAGACCCTCAACACATGTTCTGAAAACTGGAGGGCCTTCAAGGCCCTCATCGCTGCTCAGTACAGCAGGGCTTGGGTCTGTGTGCTCTCCACACCACACCACTTCCACTTTGGCCAAACCAACCGCACCCCGGAATCTCTCCGTAAATTTCCTGCCAGCAAGTTTCCAGCATTTGAGGGTGATAATGGATTCTGTGGGTTTGAGAGCAATGCCATTGTGTACTATGTGAGCAATGGGGAGCTTCGGGGAGGTACTCCAGAGGCAGCAGCCCAGGTGGCGCAGTGGGTGAGCTTTGCTGATAGCGATATAATGCCCCAAGCCAGCACCTGGGTGTTCCCCACCTTGGCCACCATGCACCATAACAGGCCACTAAGAATGCAAAGGAAGAAGTGAGATGAATTCTGGGGCTGCTGGATGCTCACTTGAAGACGAGCACTTTTCCGGTAGGTGAACAAGCGACACTGGCTGACATCACAGTTGTCTGCACCCTGTTGTGGCTCTATAAGCAGGTCCTAGAGGCTTCTTTCTGCCAGGCCTTTCCCAGTACCAACTGCTGGTTCCTCACCTGCATTAACTAACCCCAGTTCAGGCTGTCTTGGGGGAAGTGAAATTGTGTGAGAAGATGTCCCAGTTTGATGCTAAAGAGTTTGCAGAGAGCCAACCTAAAAAGGAAAAAGAGGGGCTCACAGGAAGAGAAGCAGAAGCCCCAGGCTGAGCAGAAGGAGGAGAAAAAGGCGGCTGCCCCAGCTCCTGAGGAGGAGATGAATGAACGTGAGCAGGCGCTGGCTGCCGAGCCTAAGGCCAAGGAACCCTTCGCTCACCTGCCCAAGAGTACCTTAGTGCTGGATGAATTTTAGTGCAAGTACTCCAATGAGGACACACTTTCTGTGGCACTGCCATATTTCTGGGAGCACTTTGTGGTTTTTTTTTGTTTGTTTGTTTGATTTTTTTGAGACAGAGTCTTGCTCTGTTGCCCAGGCTGGAGTGCAGTGGCGCAATCTCGGCTCACTGCAACCTCTGCCTCCCAGTTTCAAGTGATTCTCCTGCCTCAGCCTCCCAAGTAGCTGGGATTTCAGGCACCAGCCACCACACCCAGCTAATTTTTTGTATTTTTTTTTTTTTTTTTAAGTAGAGACAGGGTTTCATGTTAGCCAGGATGGTCTCGATCTCCTGACCTCATGATCCACCCACCTCGGCCTCCCAAAGTGCTGGGATTACAGGCATGAGCCACCACACCCGGCCTTTGGGAGCACTTTGGTAAGGACGGCTGGTCCCTGTGGTACTCAGAGTCTCGCTTCCCTGAAGAACTCACTCAGACCTTCGTGAGCTGCAATCTCATCACTGGACTGTTCCAGCAGCTAGACAAACAGGAAGAACGCCTCCGCCAGTGTCATCCTCTCTGGAACCAACAATGGCAGCCCCATTTCTGGAGTCTGGGTCTTCCGAGGCCAGGAGCTTGCCTTTCCACTGAGCCCAGGTTGGCAGGTGGACTACGAGTCATACACATGGCGGAAACTGGATCCTGGCAGCGAGGAGACCCAGATGCTTGTTCGAGAGTACTTTTCCTGGGAGGGGGCCTTTCAGCAAGTGGGCAAAGCCTTCAATCAGGGCAAGATCTTCAAGTGAATGTCTCTTGCCATCACCTAGCTGCCTGCACCTGCTCTTCAGGGAGATGGTGGTCATTAAAAGAAAGCTGAACATTGGGGAAAAGAAAGTCTGTAATGCCAGCACTTTGGAAGGCCAAGGCAGGTGGATCACCTGAGGTCACGAGTTCAACACCAGCCTCACCAACATGATAAAACCTCATCTCTACTAAAAATACGATTAACCAGGTGTGGTGGCACATGCTTATAATCCCAGCTACTTGGGAGGCTGAGGCAAGAGAATCACTTGAACCTGGGAACCGGAGGTATCAGTGAGCAGAGATCATGCCATTGCATTCCAGCCTGGGCAACAGAGACTCTGTCTCAAACAAACAAACAAACACTCTAGGATTAGGAATAGAAAAAGATAACTGAAATGCAGTAGGTCCTTGCTGATTTGGAAGCACTTTGGTAAGACAAATACAGTATGTTGGTTCTGTGGAAAAATTCTGATCCTTTGGAAATGTGGGATGTTGAAAAAAATGACTCTAAAGCAAGTCTCAAGGCACTGCAGCAGGACAGAAGGGAGTATCTCAGGAGAAACGACTTCTGCAGCTGGGTCTCCTACTTTTACTTATCCAGCATAAAATATAAGAACAGGAAGAGAAAAAGCAGGACACACAGACTCGAATGCCTACCAGAGACTAGTCAATCATAAGCCAGTTATAAACTGCCAGAAATAGGATCAAATGTTATTTTAGTATAAATGTTTTAATATTAAAAGAATACAAATCAAGGGCCCGAAATGTTTTCTTTTCAGTACCAAGCACAAAATGACAAATGATGTAATCAATGGACTTAATCTCTGTGGCTTTTTAAAGCCTTAGATTTGCTTCAATAAACACATCAAATGTTAACAGGGGCCACGTGCAGTGGCTCACACCTGTAATCCCAGCACTTTGGGAAGCCGAGGCTGGCGGATCACTTGAGATATGGAGTTCAAGACCAGCCTGGACAATAAGGCAAAAACCCATCTCTACTAAAAATACAAAAATTAGCCAAGTGTGGTGATGTGTGCCTGTAGTCCCAGCTACTTGGGAGGCTGAGACAGGAGAATCACTTGAATTGGGGAGGCAGAGGCTGCAGTGAGCCAAGATGGCACCACTGCACTCCAGCCTGGGCAACAGAGTGAGACTTTGTCTCCAAAAAAAAAAAAAAAAAAAAGTTAATATGGACCATTACAGAGCCCTGATGAGTGTAATCAGTCATTTTATAATGAGTATAATCATTAATTTTCTAAACTTACCTCCATTTGCAAAACAAATCAATAATTGATGTTATGCCTCATGAACACTATTTTTAAAAGTTCTTTGATCAAGCCAAGCATGGTGGCTCATGCCTGTAATCCTGGCACTTTGGGAGGCCGAGGCAGGTGGATCACCTGAGATTGGGAGTTCAAGACCATCCTGACCAATATGGAGAAACCCTGTCTCTACTAAAAATACAAAATTAACTGGGCATGGTGGCACATGCCTGTAGTCCTAGCTACTCAGGAGGCTGAGGCAGTAGAATGGCTTGAACCCGGGAGGCATAGGTTGCAGTGAGCCAAGATCGTGCCACTGCATTCCAGCCTGGGCAACAAGAGTGAACTCCATCTCAAATAAAAACGAGTTCTTTGGTAAAATCAAAATTATTAATATCTCAATGTTTGTGTTGGGTGATTTTTATTTTTTGTGTTTTAGTCACTTGTTATATTCACATACAACAAACTGTTTTTTCATTTAACTTGTAAGTTCTTGATCTTAGCTTAAATAGGCTGAGCAAAAGATCTGTTAGCCAGTTTAATATTTAATACTTGAAAATGCTGCTTCTGTTAAGAACCCACAATTTCTGCTGCACTTAACAGCCCAATGTGTAAAAATGCAGCCTCTATAAGAGCCTTGAAACCTGGGCAATTTAGTCACCTAATGCATTCTACAGAAGCACTATTCATTTAGCTGAATTAAAAACAAAGCTTAATGTTGCTTTTCATTATGTCTTTTAGTAAGATTTGATATTTTATATTTATACATACATTGCTTTTACTTAAAAAAAATAATTTTTTTAAAAAAGCAGGAAACTAACAAATATGTAAAAATGTTCTTCACCTCCACAGGGAAATACGTTTAAATCCATTTTCTTGAAACATGCCCTTTTGGTATAGCTATTGTTCTCTCCCTTTTGATTTAAAAAAAATAGGCATAAGAAAATGTTCACTCTTCTCTTAGGGTTCTACCATACCTGCATCCAGGTGTGTTCCATTCCTGTCCTTAATGCGGTGGTGTTTGGGCACTTCCTCCCGTGCTTTGCGAAAATCATGATTGTTGATGATCAGACAATATCCCCGAGGTTTGCTTTTCATTTGGTAAACTTTGTCCGAAGTCTGGAGAACAAAAACCCATTCAAGAGCTGACTCTGTGGGTCAAACACTACAGATGAAAACAAACAACTCCCTAATAAGAGGTTAGCTAACTAATAAGCCAGCTTACTTACTAGCTTACTAGTAAGCCAGATGAAGAAGCAAGTTTGCTTTCCATTGCTCCACCCCAACTTGGGGTCGTTTCCTTGAAGAACTAGTTTCTACCTATTTCCTTCACACAGGACCCCACAAACTTCTGCCCTATAGTTGTAAAGTCAGTGTCCCAATACCTGGGCCTCCTGAGCACTTTGCACATGTTAATATCGTTGTCGTCATATTGTATTATTGTGTGTTCTCATCTCTGCTTCCCATACTATACGGAAGACTCCTTGAAGTCAGTAACTTCTGTGCCAGGCATCATGGAATATTAACTTGTGAGAGCTCAATCAGGAGTTACTGAAGGAATGAGTGTCTTTGGGCTGCCCCCACGCCATGACCTTGTGATTCTCTTGCCTGTCTACTGAACTCATCTGTGCTTCCTGGCTAACAGCTGAGGGTCTCCCATTCATGCATTGCACAGTGCGGTCCCAGGATTTTAAAGCTGATGGCTTAACCAAGCTCTCAGGACCACAGTGGCTGCTGGGGAGAGATGGGCTGCTCAGGCAGGTCCTGGCTACACTGTAGGTTATAATATCCAAACTGTAGTACCTGACAGTACCTGCCAGGGATGGCCCTGTGTCCTGCTCATTCTCCTAGGGCTGTTTCAGTGCTGAGATACTCAGCATTTAGTTGGAGGTCTGCAAAGCCCTCTGAGGTAGAGAAAAGGGCTCCAGGCTAGGAAGCCCAATTCCTGGTTCTACTTCACTTTATGACTTTGGGCAAGTAACCTGATATCTTAGTATGTTAACTCTAAGATATTAAATATTTGATTCAGTTTGCACCAATTATGTTAAGTATTTACTATTTGCTATTAAGTGTGCTAAGTATTTATTAAGCACATTAAGTGTATTTACTGAGATATTAAGACACTAAGATTTGGCCAGGAACGGTGGCTAGCACCTATAATCCCAGACTTTGGGAGGCCAAGGCAGGAGGATTGCTTGAGGCCAGGAGTTCAAGACCTGGCTTAGCAACGTAGCAAGACCCCTGTCTCAATAAAACATTAAAAAAGAAAAAAAATACTAAGATATTAAGACAGTGTTTTTAGCTCTTCAGTGGGGACAATGCTTGTAGTGTGCGATACTGCTTAGAAAGTACCACATTACTTGGATTAATCCTTGACTTTCAGATGAAAGAGGCCTGGTAATTTTCTCAGGAGCCCACACCAGTGAATAATCTCTCTCAAGCCTAATTCAGATATTCAGGATTTCCTCTTCCTTCTGCCATGAGGAGGAGTAAATGGGCTAATAAGTCAGGATGCGTTTGGTAGATTGTTGGTTACATAAAGAGAAGTTATTATGCCTGAAGAGGACATGTTTCTGCTGGTTCACTGAGATGAAAACATAGAGATGGCTAGATTATGAGAGTTGGCTGCTTACACCTAATCACAAAGGAGAAGCATTTTTGAAATGTTAACTAAAGGAAAAGGCTTTGCTTTTTCCAGTCCTGCTAGACACCTTTCTACAAACCCCTCCCTCATCCAGGCTGACATAGCTGCTAGAAGATTTAGTAGGAAGGAGCCTTCCCACCCCCTCAAACCTCCAACTATGCCAGTATCTTCATCTTGGGTCTTCAAATAAAATTCAAATGCATAGAAAACTAAAGGGGTCACATTATAAAAATTATGTCATATTTTTAACTTTTTTTGTGAATTTTTTCTACAGTTCTCAAAATTTTCAATAAGCTTCTGCCCCTTATTGGTTTATCTGGCAACTTTAAAAAAAGCTAACAAATTCGATAACTAGAATCTGTAATATAAAAAGAAAAAGGATTTGGAGGTTTCCATCTACCTGTGATTCACTATCCTGTTCTCTTGGAGAGTCCGAGATTGCCATTACCCCAAACAACTCCTCCCCTGCAAACAACAAAGAGACACATCTAGAATGAGACATTGAGAATGAAATATGCAGCGCCTAGGACAACATAAGGTCTTTTTTCTTTTTTTGAGGTGGGGTCTTTTTTTTTTTTTTTTTTTTTTGATACAGAATATTGCTCGGCTCACTGCAACCTCTGCCTCCCAAGTTCAAACAGTTCTCCTGCCTCAGCCTCCCAAGTAACTGGGACTACAGGCACACACCACCATACCCAGCTAATTTTTGTATTTTTAGTAAAGATGGGGTTTCACCACGTTGGCCAGGATGGTCTCCATCTCTTGACCTCGTAATCCATCCACCTCAGCTTCCCAAAGTGCTAGGATTACAGGTGTGAGCCTGGCCAACATAAGGTCTTTATTAAGATGAAAAATCAAGCCAGGCACGGTGGCTCACACCTGTAATCTCAGGACTTTGGGAGGCCAAGGCAGGCAGATCACTTGAGGTCAGGAATTTGAGACCAGCCTGGCCAAAATGGCTTGTCTCTACTAAAAATACAAAAGAAAATTCACTGGGCATGGTGGCAGGCACCTGTAGTCCCAGCTACTCAGGAAGTTGAGGCAGGAGAATGACTTGAACTCAGGAGGCAGAGGTTGCAGTGAGCTGAGATCACGCCACTGCACTCCAGCCTGGGCAACAGAGTGAGACTCTGTCTCATATAAATGAAATGAAATGAAAATTCACAGACTGTCTTGAATAGAATCTTTCAACCCAGAGAGATTCTGCAAGCAGGGCAATTAGAATGCTACTGGAAACACAAGATCAAGTTGTCCCATCACCAAAGAGAAAAGCATACCAAGAATGCCATAATTTTATATTTCTCCACGTGGCCAGGTTAAATTGTTGTGGTATTTGTGAGATATTCATTAATATCTCTAAAGCCACTAGCTCAGGATGAATTAATGACTAGTACTTTACTCCTTAAACTATTCTTAAGGCCTTGGGCTCAGCAGGCAAGGGGGAAAGCAAAGGACAGCCTGCGTGGACATTAATCTTTAAAATAATCTTTAAATCTTTAAAATAATCTTTAATCTTTAAAATTTTGGGGTGATTGAAAATGTATTTTAGACACACACACACACATACCACAAACAGCCAAGGTAAAAATACAATAAAAACATTCATATCAATATTAATGGAGTGATGGCATTCTTGGACTTGTAAATATTTCTCTGAATTTAAAATCATCTTCAATGAGTTTATATGATTTTTCTAATCAGAAAGAATACTTAATTAATCGCCTATAGTCCCAGCACTTTTGGAGGCTCAGGTAGGTGGGTGGCTTGAGCTCAGGAGTTTAAGACCAGCCTGGGCAACATAGCGAAACCCCATCTCAACAAGAAATACAAAAATTAGCCGGGCATGGTGGCGTGTGCCTGTGGTCCCAGCTGCTCAGGGGGTTGAGGCCAAAGGATCGTTTGAGTCCAGGAGGTGGAGGCTGTGGTGAGCCAAGATTACACCACTGCACTCCAGCCTGGGGGGACAGAATGAGACACTGACTCAAAAAAAAAAAATTTTTTTTCATTAATCAAAATTTTGAAGGAGATCATTTAACCAAGGAACTTATGAAAAATAATTTAAATCCAGCTACTCAGTGCATAACACAAGCAGCACATGTCAAGGACAAAAAAAACACACATACACAGAAAAAATGATGTTAAATTACTTATTACTGACTGACTCTCAACCTGTTTCAAACTGGCCAGCCTGGGCTGCAGAGTCGGTGTCTTGTGACAACTTCTCACATTATTCAATGTATAGAGAAGGACTACAAGTCACCACTGAACTGTTATCCTGGTATTAGGAGAGTAGGCACGGCTAGTCATGGTGGCTCGTGCCTGTAATCCCAGCACTTTGGAAGGCCAAGGCAGGCAGATCACCTGAGGTCAGGAGTTCAAGACCAGCCTGGCCAACATGATGAAATCCCATCTCTACTAAAAATACAAAATTAGCCGGGCGTGGTGGTGCATGCCTGTAATCCCAGCTACTCAGGAGGCTGAGGCAGGATAATTGCTTGAACCTGGGAGGTGGAGGTTGCAGTGAGCCAAGATTGCGCCACTACACTCTAGCCAGGGCGACAGAGCAAGACTCTGTCTCAAAAAAAAAAAAAAAAAAAAAAAGAGGGAGAGAGCAGTGCATGTGGTAGATGTGGTAGAAGGTTGTAGGGAGGACACACACAGGTACCAGAGAGTAAATTAACTAAATAAATCTTGAAAATGTATCTCCAAGCATTACCATTTGAAGATTCATCTGAACTTCTTTCAAGGCTCATTCTCTCTGAATTAAAAGAGGAAAGCACGAACAGTAGTTGATTAGAAACAACTGTGACATGGAGGGATTTGTCAGTTTCAATTTTATAGTAGGTTTTGCCAATTCCCGGCTTTCAGGTTGTTTCTACCTCTGCTGCATTCATAGTCGTTGATTATCTTCAGCAGGCTCTTGTTGATTTGGTCACAGACTCTTTTCAGGATGTCCAACTTTTCTTCTCCCAGGATGACCCTCTTCTCCATCTCTATGAAAATATCCAGCAGGTTCTAGGAGGAGAAGAAATAAAGTTGGGAGTCTGGATTGAGCCCTACCGGTTGTTAGATTAGATTCTTTTTTTTTTCTTTTTTCTTTTTTCTTTTTTTTTTTTTTTTTGAGACAGAGTTTCGCTCTTGTTACCCAGGCTGGAGTGCAATGGCGCGATCTCAGCTCACCGCAACCTCCACCTCCTGGGTTCAGGCAATTCTCCTGCCTCAGCCTCCTGAGTAGCTGGGATTACAGGCTCGCGCCACCATGCCCAGCTAAGTTTTTGTATTTTTAGTAGAGACGGGGTTTCACCATGTTGACCAGGATGGTCTCTATCTCTTGACCTCGTGATCCACCCGCCTCGGCCTCCCAAAGTGCTGGGATTACAGGCGTGAGCCACCGCACCCGGCCAGATTAGATTCTTTTTTAACTTCCACTTTCTCTAACCAAGGACCTGACCTTTCTTCCCAAGCAGACATCCTGACAATTTCTGCTGGCCTCTCATAGCCAGCAGGCTACTAGGTAAGCAATCCCATGTTTTCTGGCCCAGAAAGACAGAAGTAAGAGGATAATGGAGAAGCCATGTCAGATGTCACCCAGTCCCCAGGCCCTGAGCTCAAATCTCCTATGAAAGCATTACCTGAGGACTGTGAAACAGCCCTAGACAGCAATCCAGTCACCATAGTGACAGCCTTGGGATGGCCTCACCCCCAACATTGCCTCTCCAGACCTGAGTACACACAGACACATAGATACAGATATCACATGAACAAACACATAGACACACAGATGCACACAACACACACAGACGATATTCAATGATACACACACAGAGGCATAAATGCAAATACACACTATGCAACATGCACACAGACACATATACCACACAGAGAACACACAGAGATATACCACTTATAGAGACACACAAAGATATGCCACACACAAATACAGACACACACTATACAGAGATATGCACACAGCACACAGACATACACAACACACAGACACAATATACACACAGAGTTCCAGGTTCCAGGTTATTTTGGGGACTGCAGAAGTGGGGAAATGTCTCAGATCACCACTGTCTCTCCCACCTCTGCTGAGTCTTACTCTGGGCTGCCCCTGTACAACCAGCCTCCTCTCCCAGCCCCTGACTCTGCCGTGCTACCAGTAATTAACATGAGCAGTACTTGAGGATAAAGGAAGCACATTTGTAACACTCGTGCTGACAGCTTTCTTCTTCTAGTTAAAAAGTGAGAATCCAGGTTGCTTTTACCAAAATAGCCCCTCTCTTTGGTCTCAGAAATGTCCCTGGCTAACCAAGTCTCAGGACTAAATCTCAGTATCTTACCAGATCTTACCATATCGTCATCCAGTTTGCATTTGGAGATCTCCTTTTTCAAAAGAAACTTAAAAGACCTCAATTCTGTTTTGCTCACATCTTCTGAAATCTGATAGAGCATGACCCTGTGGTGGGAAATGGAGACACTTTAGAAACCTTTTCCTAAATAATTTCCCATTTGATGCATGGAGTCAGAGTGGGCTTGATTCCAAAGGCCTCCCTTCAAAATAAAGCCAGTTAATGGCATGGTTTACGAGTTGAGTCCTTGGAAAGAGGCAGGTATGGTGACACCGAAGTCTACGACTCCTCCCGAACTATCCCACTCTTAGCAATTAAAAGTTCTATCAACTTTTCTTTCAGTTTATTTTAGTTAAATAAATCGTGTTTTCCTTTATTTTTTTTCTATGAAACCAAGATTTTGTTGCAATAGCAAAAAGTTTTGCCTGTTGGAAATGATGCTTTTCAAAACACACATTGGCTTGTGACATCCCTAATTAAATGGGTCAGTGTTCTCCTAGTCATTACCCTCCGTAAGAAGGCCGGGCATTTGGTTCGGGAATACACCGGCTCTGAATACATCTTTATCACAGACCAGACCACAAACACGAAAGGATCTGAAGCCCCAACTACACCCAGCTTGCCCTGCCCTCACCCCTTTCTGCTGTGCCCCCACACCCCATCCCCTTGTCTATCCACAGACCCCCATCCCCTTGTCTATCCGCAGACACCCATCCATGAACAACAGCTCAAGCATTGCCTGAGCATCCTCAAGGCTGCATTCATTCCACTATGACTTAGTATCCCCGGAAGGATAACACATAAAATTGTCTTTTGGCCTGGTGCAGTGGTTCACACCTATAATTCCAGCACATTAGGAGGCCAAGGCAAGAGGAAGATCGCTTGAGCCCAGGGGTTTGAGACCAGCCTGGGCAACATAGCAAGTCTCCATCTCTACCAAAAATATTTAAAAATTAGCCGGGTGTGATGGCATGCACCCATGGGCTTAGCTACTCCTGAGGATGAGGTAGGAGGATCACTTGAGCCCAGGAGGTTGGGGCCACAGTGAGCTGTGATCATGCCACTGCACTACAAATAAAATAAAAACAAAAAATAATTGTCTGTTTAGAAACTGTCCAAGTCCCTAACGGCCAGGTCCATGCCCTTTTCGTTTTCATAAACCCAGAGGGTTGTGAGATGCAATGTTTGAGTACAGGGGACCCAGGCTATTAGTGCTGTAGCCTTGGTTCTACCATCTTTGAGCAGCATTAACTTTAGACATGCTACACATTGTTCCTGATCCATAGACTGAAGATAATTATCTGCAACCACATCATAGGAAGATGTCTCCGAGGGTTACACAAATAAGTTTATGTGAAGTACTGGAACCAATCTTTGACAACACACTAAGTGTTCAATGAGTGATAGGCATTACTATTTCCTAATCTATGCCTATCACATTTATTTAGGCTGGCACATTTAGGCTCTTGGAATATACTTGTTGAGTAAGTGAACACAGGAACATTTTAGAAGTCAGCAAACCTTTCAATATGATGGTGTAAAGGAAAACAATTGTAATACAAAACATGTTGACTTTAAAATTTAATTAGAAAGTAAAATTCTGAAAATAAAAATGGGGTAGAGCCAGGTGCAGTGGCTCATGCCTATAATCCCAGCACTTTCGGAGGCTGACGTGGGCAGATCACCTGAGGTCAGGAGTTCGAGACCAGCCTGACCAACATGGCAAAAACCCTCTCTACTAAATATACAGAAATTAGCTGGGTGCGCTGGTGGACACCTGTAATACTAACTACTCAGGAGGCTGAGGCAAGAGAATCACTTGAGCCCGGGAAGTGGAAGTTGCAGTGAGACGAGATCATGTCATTGCACTCCAGCCTGGGCAACAGAGCGAGACTCTGTCTCAAAAAAAAATAAAAATAAAAAGACTTCACAATTCTAGTAAACCAAAGCTATGTAGCTTACTGGTTGAATAGTGTCCTCCCCTCCTCCCCAAAATTCACGTCTACCTGGAATATGAGAATGTGACCTTATTGGGACAAAGGATATTTGCAGATAAAATCTGATCAAGATGAGGTCATGCTGGCCAGGCGCAGTAGCTCACACCTGTAATCCAAGAACTTGGGAGGCCGAGGTGGGCAGATCCCATGAGCCCAGGAGATCAAGACCAACCAAGACAACATTTCAAAACCCCATCTCTATAAAAAGTACAAAAATTAGCCAGACATGGTGGCGTGTGCTTGTAGTTCCAACTACTTGGGAGACTGAGGTGGGAGGACTGGTTGAACCTGGGAGGCGGAGGTTACAGTGAGCCAAGACTGCACCACTGCACTCCAGCTTAGGCAACGTACCGAGACACTGTCTCACACACACACACACAAAAAGATGAGGCCATACTGGATTAGGGTGGACGCTAATTCCTAATCCAGTGACTGTGTCCTCATAAGAGGGAGATTTAGACACAGAGAAGGGAACATAGGCAGACTGCTGTGCTGCATCTACAAGACAAGCAGCACCAAGGACTGCCGCACCCACCCAAAGCAGGGAAAAGCATGAAACAGATTATTCCTTGGAGCCTCTAAAAGAGAACCAAGGCTGTTGACATCTTGATTTCTGACTTTGGGCCTCCAGAACTGAGAAAAAAAAATTTTTTTGAGGCAGAGTTTCGCTCGTTACCCAGGCTGGAGTGCAATGGCGTGATCTCGGCCCACCACAACCTCCGCCTCCTGGATTCAGGCAATTCTCCTGCCTCAGCCTCCCGAGTAGCTGGGATTACAGGCACGTGCCACCACGCCCAGCTAATTTTTTGTATTTTTAGTAGAGACGGGGTTTCACCATGTTGACCAGGATGGTCTCAATCTCTTGACCTCGTGATCCACCCGCCTCAGCCTCCCAAAGTGCTGGGATTACAGGCATGAGCCACTGCGCCCGGCCCAAGAACAAATTTTAAAAACTGTTTTAAACCTGCTAGCTTGTGTTACTTCATTACAGCAGCCCTAGGAAACTTATACACCCAAAATATCTTTTTTTTTTTTTTGAGACAGAGTTTCGCTCTTGTCGTCCAGGCTGGAGTGCAATGGCGCAATCTCAGCTCACTGTAACCTCCGCCTCCTGGGTTCAAGCGATTCTCCTGCCTCAGGCTCCTGAGTAGCTGAGATTACAGGTGCGAGCAACCGTGCCTGGCTAATTTTTGTATTTTTAGTAGAGACAGGGTTTCACCATGTTTGCCAGGCTAGTCTCAAACTACTGACCTCAGGTGACCCGCCTGCCTCGCCTCCCAAAGTGCTGGAATTACAGGCATGAGCCACTGCCCCAGGCCCAGAATATCTCTTTCACCATTTAAAATCAAAATAGTCAAGCCTTGGCCAGGTATGGTGGCTCACGCCTGTAATCACAGCACTTTGGGAAGTCAAGGCAGGTGGATGACTTGAGGTCAGGAGTTTGAGACCAGCCTGGACAACACGGTGAAACTCTGTCTCTACTAAAAATACAAAAATTAGCCAGGCAGGGTGGCATACACCTATAATCCCAGCTACTTGGGAGGCTGAAGCAGGAGAATCGCCTGAACCCAGGGGTGGAGGTTACAGTGAGCCAAGATCACACAACTGCACTCCAGCCTAGATGACACAGTGAGACTCTGTCTCAAAAGCAAAATGAAACAAAAAATAGTCAAATCTCAAAACAAAACATAGTCTCTGAGAATAGAAAGACCAGGGTGTTCATGGGCTGGGCCATCAGGGCAGCGGCTGTCAGCCCTGGCTGTAAGCCCTTTCCGTCTCACATGCCACAGTTATCGACAAGCAAACAGAGACAATGAAATGGGCCCAGAGCAAAGGCTTAAGTAGAAGTCTCCTGAAAGCAAAGCTGAAATTGCTTTAAGAAGTGTCTGATAACAGGAGATGATGAAAGGGAGAAGGTGACAATGTGTTTCTGTTTTTCAAGTCTTGTCCCAGCATCATGAAGTTGTACTTGAATGAGGTTTTTTCTCTCTCGCACCTTTGGTTACCCCACTCTCCCATAGGGTGGGGAGAAGCTAAGTTTTACAGCCTTTGGCAGGATGACCCAAAGCGCCACTGTCTTCCTGTAGAAGCTTAGAATTGTCATACAGCTGGGCTCCCAGGAGCTAAGTAGCCTCTGTGGGGACTGCCTAGCTGTTTGTGCTAGGCCAGCTGCATACAACTCTGTAAAGAACTTTGTCATTTGAGTCTTTAGGTGTGGCAAAAAAAAAAAAAAAAAAAAACCTTAAATCTTGTTGAAAATTTCCATAGCCATCCACAAGCAAGTGGGAGGGGGATTTCAGGGTGGGAGGCCGTGATGCTGGACTCAATGGATGGGCAAAGTAAGCACACAATCCGAATATCGGCAAAGCAGAGGCACCAAGTTAAGAGAGGAAAAACAAAATGAGAACACTTAGAAAGCTTTACTATACATACCTCTAAGTAATGTTTCAGTTTGAAAAATAAATTTTTATTTTATGGTCTTAGCGTTTTTGTAGAATCATACATACGGCCCCTAAATTTCTTAATCTGGCCCCACTGGGACATCTTCCCAAAGCCTCCCAAGTGATACTGAACGTGGTTTCTCTTTGTTTACTCACTCTCTCTAGGGTGGGGAGAAGCTGAATTTTACAGCCTTTGGCAAGACCACCCAAGGCACCACTGTCTTTCTGTAGAAGCCGAGAATTGTGGCACAGCTAGGCTCCCAGGCGCCAGGCAGGCTACCACAAAGACAAGCCCCAATCAGCCCTGCCCACAGAGATTGTCCATTCAACCCACACCTTCCAGCCCCCACGCTGGGAGTTTCTACCCACCTGTAGGCAGAAATCTGAGCGCTGCCCGGTGTCTGAAGTTCCCTTTCCATCTCCTCCTTGCTAGTGTCTAGATATTTATTCAGCAAATCCAATCTATTAATTCGGAAGAGCATCTCCTTCAGAAAGGACAGATTACTTTCCTCCAACATTCTCTTTTCCTGGAGTCTCTGGAATAACATCAAGGCATCCTTGATGGGTTCTTGCTTCCTTTGTTGGATGTAGTCCAGGCTCAGGAACTTGAGGGCGGCCAGTTCTTCATTTCCCAGTTCTTCTCCAATATTAAAAAGCATTCTGCTGAAGGCCATCTTTTCAAAAGGTAGGAGGATGTAATCTAAGTCAAAATATAATGGTATGTTCAGATAAGGAAGAAAAGAACCATTTGCTGGCTTGTTCATCAAAGGCTACTGCATCTACTAGACACCGGTCATTGTGCTGTGAGCACAGGAGAGAAAAAAAGAACACCAGACAGTTTCTGCTTACTGTGTGGGAAGGTAGATATACAAACAAGCCAGTGGTGAGAGAGGTATGACCAGAGTGAGGTAGGGGTGCAGAGGAAGAAGACTTAACTCGGCCTGGGGGAAGGGCTTCCTGTGGGGAAGGGATCGGGGGGAGAATGTGAGAAAGCACAGTTCTCGAAGGAAACAATTGATGTAAAAGATGGAGGTAAGAACTTTCAAGCCCATTCAGGCAGGCACGAGGAGTTCAATAAAGTAACTACAAAGGATCTGGGACGGAGAGTGACGGGACAAAGGGATGAAGCTCTCTCGGTACCATGTCACAAAGGGGCCTCATTACCGTGGGGCAAAGTGTTTAGGCTTTGTCCTGGAGGTGATGAGGAACTAAGAAAAAACTGTACAAATGAGAATGACATCACACACAGCACGGGGAGAAACGCCAGATACAGGTGAAGGGGAGGAAGGCAGCAAATCACGCTGCCATGTGTGTACCTAGGCAACAATCGTGCATATTCTTCACATGTACCCCAAAACCTAAAATGCAATAAAAAATAAAAAATATAAAAACATTTAAAGTGCAAAGGATAGACTGGAAGACTTGGAGGCGGGGGACCTACTCGCACGTATTAGGAGGAGGCATTTCGGTGCTGGAGGGCGGGAGTAATGGGGTCTGACTGAAACAACAGCGGTAAGAGGACATGGGGCAGTGCAGTTCCCTAAAGGCCCCAGGACCAGAAGGGCCCAAGGACCAGCGCCTAAAGCTGGTCAGGAATGCAAGACTGGAAACAACCAGGTCACCCCTGACAGCCCTTTCAGCCTACAGAGTCTCTAAGTCAGGTTATGTGGTATTTTCACACAATGTTTCTAAAGGAGAGGACTCTGTTTCTGCAAACCCCAGACAATTATGCCAGCGGCCTGAGATCTGGGGTTTTCCCTTGAGGCCCAGGTTCCACCACCCTGACAGATTTCTACCCCACCCTCCCTGTTCTGACGGCCCCTGTCCTTGCTAAAGGAACCCTAGGAGCGGCGTTTGTGCTCCATTCTTCATAGGAACAAGACTGGGACATGGCTCCCCCTATCACAGGCGACAGTCACCATAGGGGAAGGCAGCAGTGCTGTGTTTAAGAGCCTAGACCAAGCCCAGCCATGATGCCAGCACTTTCTCAAGGTGTTACTTTCCACCTCTGTAAAATACGCTCGTCTCTCAAAGCTGCTGTGAATATATAACACCTAGAATGCATTTAGAATAACGCCAAGCAACTAATGAATGCCAAATAAATGTTAACCTAAAAGAAGGAAAAGCCCCTGGCCGTGGGGCTTAGGATCTTGAGCACTTCTCTCACCTCCCGTTTCCTCAGTTGAAAATGTGAACATTCCATTGGAAGTGGCGGCTTTCAGACTCTTCAAAGCAGAAGAGCTCTTTGTCAAACCCTCTCTCAGAAGCTCCTTCGCCCTTAAGAGTTGACCCTGGACCACTACCTTTTGAGAACCTTAAACTAAGAACCTTTCCATTCCCATCCAGCTCCATCATATTTCTGATTCCACAAACCCTATACTCTTGGATACTTTCCTTCCCCATAAATAACCTTAACCTGTTTGGACCCATTTTCTCACCTGCAACCAGGTGGATGGGTTCTGGGTCTCTAAGCCCCTTGCATTTGCTAACATTCATAGATGAAAACACAAACCCGGATGCTGCCACTCAGAGGTAGCGGTCAAGGAAACCACGATTCATGTATTTTCTACATCTTACTCTAAAATAAAAATACTTTCAATTTGGACATTAGAGTAAGTCTAATTTTTTTTTTGATTTCCATAGCTTTTGGGGGTACAAGTGGTTTTTTGGTTACATGGATGATTCTGTAGTGGTGAACTGAGATTTTAGTGTACCCGTCACCCAAGCAGTTTACACTGCACCAATAGACAGTCTTTTATCCCTCATTTCCCTTAGGCTTTGTCCTGGAGGTAATGAGGAGCTAAGAAAGACTGTAAAAACGAGCATGCTATCCAACTGGGAATTAATATTCAAAGTGCAAAGGACAGACTGGAAGACCTGGAGGCAGGGGACCTACTGGGATCTATTAGGACCAACCTCCCCTCCAGCTCCACCACCAGTCTCCAAAGTCCATTGCTTCCTTCTGCATGTCTTTGCATCCTCATAGCTTAGCTCCCACTTTCAAGTGAGAACATATGGTATTTTTTTTTTTTCTTTTCTTTGAGATGTAGTCTTGCTTTGTCATCCAGGCTGGAGTGCAGTGTTGTAATCTCGGCCAACTGCAACCTCCTCCTCCAGGGTTCAAGCAATTCTCCTGCCTCAACCTCCCAGTAGCTGGGATTACAGGTGTGCACCACCATGCCCGGCTAATTTTTGTATTTTTGGTAGAGACAGGGTTTCACCATGTCGGCCGGGCTTTTCCTGAACTCCTGACCTCAGGTGATTCACCTGTCTGGGCCTTCCAAACTGCTGGGATTACAGGTGTGAGCCGCTGCGCCCGGCCCGGTATTTGGTTTTCCATTCCTGAGTTACCACACTTAGAATAACAGCCTCCAGTCCAAGATTAAATATTTTTTAAATGACCCTTTCGAAAATATCCTTTCCTTCCATTCTCTGAAAGAAAAATTTAAAAAAATCTTTTTCCCCTCCTGATTACAGCAGCAGTGGTTTTTTGTGTGGAAATGGAAACCACAGAGGCTCCCGGGACTTCAGCTTCTGCTTTCTGCTGCCCTCTTTCTTCCCAAGTCCTCAGTCACCCCCTTCTCCCACCCCACTGCCACCATGTTTGCTCCCTGTGGGGAGGTGGTCCCCAGCCATATCAGCATCACCCTCCTGATGGTAAATCACTCTCTCACTAGACTAGAAGCTCCGTGAGGGCAGAAACTTTTGCTGGTTTATTTTTTATTCTTATTTTTATTTTTATTTTTGAGACAGGGTATCACTCTGTCATCCAGGCTGGAGTGCAGTGGTGAGATCTTGGCTCATTGCAACCTCCACCTCTCAGACCCAAGCCATCCTCCCACCTCAGCCTGCTGAGTGGCTGGAACTACAGGAGCAAACTACCATACCCGGCTATTACTGGCTACTGTCTCAGGCTGCTGGCTTGTCAATTGCCTGGGCTTTCCTGAATGAATAGTAATAGCCATCTTAGACACATTCAGTGTAGAAATAATCACGTCTACTGCAAGGTGGCCAGCATTTCCAACAGATATGGCTGGCATGAGTCAATGGTTGCTCTAGGCACTGGGAATGCAGTAAAATAAGCCAGCGTGGCCCAGGAGTTCAAGTCTACCCTGGGCAAAACTCCAGGTAGCAAGGCCCCAACTCTTAAAAAAAAGCAAAACCAAAATTGAAGATAAGTGACAACTATGCAAAATAATTATTGCCTATTGACAGGCAAATTCTATCCTGTCCAATGAAGGTCCAATTAATTGATTTCCCTTCCCCTCTTGTGGAAAAACCAATTTTGCCTCCATTTGCACAAATATTCCTTATTTAGAAATGTGTCCTGATCTTCAGATTCTCTTCTGAGCCAGCTATAACATCTCCCTGGTTGTCACTGGTAAATGAGTAGAATAAAATATTTATTATCTGTTAAAAAAAAAAAAAAGCAAAACCAACACCAAAACAAAACAAAACAAGAAAGAGTGGGTCATTTAGCCATCTCTGTCAAAATACAAAATTCACATATACTTTGGCCCCACAATTTAACCTCCAAGAGTTTTTCCCACATTCACTTAAACATAAGTATACTCAACACCATATACAAGGCTATTCATGGTAGCATTCCTTGAAATAACAGAAAAGGAGAAATAACTGTTTATCAGTATTAGAGGATTTAGACAAGCTATTAATCATAATCCATAGAACTCTATTTTACTAGAAAGAATAGGAAGATCAATGTGATTGAGTGCGTGTGATCTACATAATGTATTGATCGGTACATATTCTGTGTATTCACCAAAGAGCTCTGATACAAAGCACACAGGAAGTGGTTTCAGTCACGGTAAAGAAAAGTACAATTACAAACATGTGGACGTGCAGTGTGGGAAGGCCCATGGGTGGAGGTGACAATGAGAGCTGCTTGCTACTCCCTAGCTTGCTACACCGTTTGTACTGTTTCAATTTTTACCATGTACATGTATTACTTATTCTAAAAATACACCTAATTAAAATCTTTAATATTTAAAGATTCATTCTTATTCATGCTGGAAAAGATCTAAACTAGATCTAACCATTTAGTGTCATTGAGTCAACTGTCTTTAAATTTTAAGTGCATTCTAACCTCTGTTAAAATCTCATCTTACAGAATAAAACAACGAAAGAATCAAATGAAAGCAGGACTTCCTTTCTCCTGTCCCTCAATTATTTTTTTTTCCTGAGGATAACAATGCTTAGTGTATTCATTTTAGAAAATACAGAAAAGATCAAACGAAAGTAAAAACTGTGTATAATTCCACCATCCAAAGATAAATGCCTAATATTTTACCCTTTCCTACCAAATATTTTATGCATAGCACACTTTTCCTTATATTTGAACACATCATATTTCTGTAGCATAAGAGGATTTTTCCACTGATAAATACATCTCGTATTGTAAGTACATTCTGATGTCTGTAGTTTTTCCTCTACAGCGTGGGTTTTAATATCTGTAAAGCATTTAATCTTAGAGATAGCCTATAATTTACACAGCCAGTTCCTGATTCTATGTAGGATGATCTTAAAACACAAATCTTTAAGTTAAAGTTAACTTCAAGGTTTATAATCAGTCAGTTCCTGATTATATTTAGGTTGATCTTAAGATGCAAATCTTTAAGTTAAAGTTTAAGTTAAAATAACTTCTAATTATTTTCTTAGAATAATTTCCTAAAAGCAGTATTA